CATTTAAAATGCTGACTTCGATCACGTTTTTCATTAATTTTTGAATGACTTATCGCGTACCGTTGCACAGCCGGGTTGGGTTCAAATTACGAAGCAAAATAATCGCAGATCCAACCTTTAATTGTAAATTATGCGGTGGCATGCCTGGTAAATCCAGTGAGTTCAAACACTCTGTGGGAAAATTTACTGCTTCGCTGTCGTCGCAAACTCTGTCAATAGATTTATATGATATCAATTTCCCTGGCAACAAAATTTTTATCTTCAGATTTAAATTGTCAACGTCTACATTTTTTGCCGCTAAAATTGCTCATTCTGCAAGCCACTCATGATTTATGTACTGTGTGTGTACATCGGGAAATATTTGTTCAGTGAGAGTATCTTGCGAATCAGCGATTGTGCAGAAATCTGTCGGTAATTTTACGTATCCAGTTTCATCTATAGCAACTTTTCCATCACCGATATCTAAGAGTTGTTTTGAAAATGTTTCAGCGGATGGAACTTGAAGCATTTGAACGCGCTACAAATTACAAACTTGAACAAACTACAATTAAATATTAAAATTATTTTTAATAAATTTGCATTAAATAAATTGTGAGCGGCTCTCTAGAGATAGTAAAAATAGATATATGTATACATATGGTGATTGCTTAGGTACACCACTGACTATATCACGCCACTCCATTAGCAGCAACTGTGCCGTGAATCCAAAACTCGACACAATTTCAACTCTCATCAAATTCTCTTCCAGGCTGCAATCAAATATTTTAACGGTAGTATACAAGCTGTCCCACAAAGATATACGCCTTGATTATCTCCGGAGATAATAAAGATAATCAAATTTTGATTTTTTTTTTATATTATTCACACGGATAACTAGAAATTAAAACAGCTGTTACTTAGAAACTGTCCATCGGATATAAATATGTGATACATTAAAATTTTCAAAAAAATAAACTCTACAGAATAGCTATCTTAAAATTGTCTGAAAATAATAAAATAAAAAGTTATTTTTTTAATTTTTTTCACTAAAAAAAAATGAATTTAAATATAAATATGTGTGGTCCTCATCCTCATGTGAGTTAAATAAAATAAACAGAATTTGATTATTTTTATTATCTTCAGATATATTCAAAGGGTATATCTTCGTGGCACAGTCTGTATATATAACTCGACCAGCCACGACCCTCGTGGCTCTCACTGAAATCGACTTTATAGTAGTCCTCACTCCTCGTGACTTTTTTTTCCATTCATTAGACACAAACTCTTCAAAGTCCAAAAACCTAAGCGAGATTCGAGAATACGTTATATATAGGACGGTCCATAACTTTTGAGACGTTTAAAAAGCCCCAAAACCACGGTTGGTTTTACTGTGCTGCTGTAGGACAATGTTTTGAAGATCTTTACCTAGAACTTTTATCAGTTTATTCAGTTTTATCTGTATAAAATGTTACCTGGGCATTTGTTTACTATTTTTTTTTTAAAGTATACCGGTGACTATACATCCACTGGCCGTTTCCGCGTGTTGAATAACGAAAATCGCGGTGTATATATCGGTTTGACGTTCTGGTATAAATGGTTACAGATTTTTACCGGAGACGCGACACGTTACGTCACGTAACCGCTGTGTAACGATATACACAATACGTCATAATAATAATATGATATACGATTATAATTATTCGGTATAGTGCACTGCCCTCTAAACTGTGCGATACGGTAAGCCAACGACCGTGACGGACCAAAAACAAAAAAAACGCCTGCCTCAGAAACTGTATTATTACGTTATAGATCGTTATAATTAGTATTGATTTTGTATACAATTAAAAAAAAAAAAACAAAAACAAAGCGAAAAAAAAATTCGATTTTCGACAGTTTGTCCGGCTCGTTAAATAATAGAAAGCTACAGAACCGTGACAATTATTATTTTCGTCGACGTTTCTAGTGGTTATCTGTCTGTATACACCTAAACAATAATATTATGTGTGTCTGTAATTTTCCCGATGGCGTTATCGAACAAAAATCATGAAAATTATAAATTACAACATAAATATACAGATATATTATACATATTTGAGTAAAATTTGTTATATTTTTTTCCGCGACCTACCCGAGAAATCGTATCCCGTCATTAAATCGCTAAGATTTCCAAAACTACGTGTATTATATCGTGTTAGATTAGGTTAGTTGTGTTTTTTTTACTATAATTTCGTGTATTACGTCTATGTTATATTATTTCATTCGATTTATGAACACTATAGACATTCGGCTGCAGCTGAAAATATTTATAGACAATAATAATTATTGTTCATTGAGCTTATTAAATATAATTGTATTTTTAATCGGCTGCGCCGTAGTCTCCAGACGATTAAATAACGGATCGAGAAACCGGCTTGCAATCGTCGTTAAAATAATTTTATGTGAATGTGTTGACTTCACGTGAAGAGTTACATACAGTTGTTGGAAAAAGTCATTAAACGCCAGGATCTTTGTTTTTTTTTATTTCCAACTATTTTCTCTCAAAATTTGATCATATGGTTTTTATTATCTTATACAGTTTTTATACATTATTAATTCATTGCGCGACTTTCCACTTCATATTTCAAAATGTAACCGAACCGATGTGAATGTTTCCCATTTTCTCGTTAATTTGTACCTGTCGTGGTTTTTAAATGATTAAAGATTTTAGGTTTTAGGTTTTCATTCGAAGCAATAATTTTTTTGGAGCAATACCATGATTTTTTTTTGACGTTATAGTGGTGTTGCATGCCACTACCATATATCATTGCCAAATGTTGAAACATATTTTATTTCTACATCTAATTTCTAATATATGTTGTCAAAATTATATACACAATTACACAATAGTGATGATGGGTGTGTCTACACTGTTGCAGGTGGGAAGTAAAATACAAAGAGTTAGTTAACTTTTATTTGTACCCAACGATAAATGTTCACTTACGAAAAACAATTCTGAGGGGAGCTTATTGTTAAGCAATTCTTTAGAAGATTTCTGGTATAGAAAAGTTGTTTATTGATCCGAAAAAAAGCAAAATAAAATCAATATTTATTTTGTTATCAAATTATTTTCTTGAACTCTGACCATTGTGATTCATTCATAGACAATCTCCAGTGTAAAACCGACGGGCTTATAGATAGGCGGTAGGTTGTAAGTATACGCGATGTGGTGTGGATACAATAATATAAACGCCGGTTGGTGGAAGAAAAACCCGTTAGGTACGTGTCGCGTGAATGCTCGCCGTCCGTTTGGTCAGTGTCGGCTCCACACGTCAGTCGTACACGTGCTAAACAACACGTTGGACGGACCCGATTCCGTGCAATATTTTCGCGCGCAATTCAATTTTTTTTTCTTGAATACAAGTACTAACAGTGTGTGGTGTAGTGTCTTGTGCCGTGCGTACGGACGGATCGGTATTTATTTTTTTCGAATAATCAGACTGAATTTCACACGGATTGCCATCATCCCTCGGACCTGCAGCAACCGAAATCGTATTGTGGACTACTAATCCCCGAGAGGTATCCGTAACACGCATACACCCGAGGTTAGTATATATAATGTTATGGCTCTTTTATATAGTGCTCGAAATGTGACACACGTTTTCAAAAAACTAATAACATATAAATCTATCACAACAAACTCTCTCTTGGGAAGTCTTGCTTGAAGTCAAATTATTGTTCATATTAGGTAAATTACTTGCAAATTATTTGCAATACTCATATTATTACATATTACGGGCGAGTGTTTAAAAAGTTTGAAACGATGAATTTGCACCTTTTTGTTAGTTTCAAAAATGTATGCCTATTCAAAAAAATAATTATTTTTTTAAAACTATTGTGAAAACGCATCGTTTATTTTTGGAAATATTAACATCGTTAAACGGCTTAACACAATTTTTATGATGTCTTTACTCAATTCAAGTTGACGTTAAAAATTTAACGCTGCACAATTTAATTTTTTCCGACACCTCGTAAATTGTAATATTGTTTTTAAATACGTATATACTGTATAGAATAATTTTAAATCTATATAAAAACATGTTACAATGCATTTTCCGGGGATTAATCGATTTTTTAGCGAACTCATCTAAAACAATATTTAATCCCGTTAGAATATTAAACTATACGAGTACAAGTATATGTTAAAGCATGATAATTCACAGCGGTTCATTTCTCAATAGACTGCTTATTGAGCACTTTATTTCTGAAAAGTTTGATCCGCTTCAGTCGATCCATTGATTTATTTTGGTCAACGAACACGAAACAGAAACGGGCATCATCCAACAAACAGAGCATTTACTGCAATTCGCATGTGTAACACAAAATTTCCACCCTTCTTTGAATGGATAGGTGATGGTGGATCCATGATGGGTACCTGAGTCATATTTTTTATCGAATTGGTACTTATGGAATAAATTAATAGTGTTGTATGAGAGTTTGTTTTGTAATCGAAATTGGTGGTCCACACAACTTTTTACCTGCCCATCTTCTTAAAATATGATTCGGCGCCACTATACATTGTTGAATTTCATTTGCGTCCAATCACCATATTATTTTTTGTTTCAAATTAATTAATTTTACGACACCTTGTTATTTGTATAACTGAAGTTATTTTTAATTATTGAACATCGATGGGAATGATAATTGACGACTTTATTTGGGGGGACGATTTAACATAAACCTGCATTTAACGAATTCTATTTAGTGTTGAATCCAGATAATTTTCTGAGGGAGGGATGACTAACTTTTTTTCCATTAGACATTTCGATTTAAAATGTAATAAGTAACGAGTTTTGTACATTAAATAAATATATTTTGTCAATACAATTGTATTTATCAGATAGAGCGAATGAAATTTCAGGTGCGAATTTGTCGTAATACTAACGTTATATTCTCAAGACGATATAATTTTTCGAATCGCCATGCGATTTAACATCGTGAAAACTTCGTATAAGTTTTTTTTAATGATTTTAATAAGATAATGAAATGCATAGCAGTCACGCTCGAATTCAAACATAACCCAATATGTCACAATGCTGCCACAGTAATCCACGTAAAACAGTCACTTATACCAAGGCATAAATAGATGGTGTATGTATATTTTTTTTTTTTATAATCATATCATTTTTACTTTTTCACGTTCAATTCGAAATAGGTACCTAATATAATATTACCGAGTCTAAGCACGTTCGTGCGGTTTTTAACGACTAGGAAATAATATGAAAACCGCATACGGATACCTTATACGGAATATTGTTTTAATATAATAATTTAAATAAAAAATCATTGAGTACCGTGTTGAATTTGATGTCGCTTCTTTTTTTCTTTTTTTTTTATAACCTTGCCCCTTGTATTGTTATTGAATACAATAAATGAAGATACGCACCTATACTTATTGAGCTATTGATTTTTAATATATTATAATATTATCATTGTCAGTTTGTTTTTTTCTATAGAGATAATATTATATACTACTCACGGAAATGATTAAACTAAATATCTATATAATGTTAGACATATACAGGTATATATATATATAATTATATGTATTATGAAATGTAAAATGCATAAAAACTTAATTATATTTTAGATAGGTAAAAGTAGTGTTTCGATATTTATATTAATTTATGGCCGACAATTAATTGGAAATTATATACGATTGGCTTTGTTTTAAATCGTACCAAAAATATAGTTAACGGACTTTCTTATTATGTATACACTTTATTTGATATAAAATTATAATTATAATTTTTCCGTATAGGCGCGTAATGTTAACAGTTAACAGTTAAATAAACGTTTTAAACACTAAAATACTATTAGAAATTAAAATGTGTGTACGTAACTTTTTAACTGTCAGTTGAATATTATGTATTTACCATTTATGTTATTATTGTTATATGACTTGTTAGTGAATAGATACTTGAATAAAATGTTTTATGCGAGACAGTTTTATTTAAATAAAACAATAACGATTTTATATGAATCGAGTAAACCAACTATTCAGGGGGGGGGGAATCTGAAGATTAGTATGCTTATAGACCAGCGGTCCCCACTACAGGATTTCGGAAAGAGTCATAAATAATTTTTGAAAATTACTTACAGACCCCATATAGTAAAGCAATTTGAATTTGCGTAATATTAACTTATAAAAAAGGGTTTTCGTTAAGTGCATTTACTTTTTATTTAATAAAATCATGCTCGTACCTACTTATATGTCAAACTGTTAATTCAATAAAAGTTAAAAATAAATAAGAATAATATGAACCGTTATAAAGCTGTTAAAAAAGCTAAAATATTATTTGACACTGCAGTGTTTAAAAAACTATAAAATTCAATTTTTTTTCTCGAGTATTTTGAGTATCGTGCCGAACTGATAAAATTGTATATAATATAACACTACACAAATGATTTCTACTTAAATGGTAAGAATACCATAAAGTATATCCTACTCGAATGTACACACCAAACACGTAAAAAATGGCACTTTAAAATCACCTCAGTTTCTAATCATTCAAGAACCGAAAATTGTAGGCCGTGGCCTATCAATTTTTTTTATTATCCGTGAAAAACTTAAATAAACGTATTAGGGTTCGGTCCATATCGAAAAGGTTCGGGAACACAGCTGTGCTATTACAATAAATAATAATTAGAAACCGAGAATAATAATGCAAATTAATTTCTGGGTGTTTTACCCATATAAATAATCGTATTATACCTATGAATGATATGCCTACCTTTTGAAGTACATTTATGTTGTAAGACGAGTCAGAAAAAAGAAACATAATACGTATACGGGTATTCTAATGGTATAAGTAATTTAGTATAACGATGAACGTATAGAAATGTAAAAAAAAAAAGTGATGTCCATAGGAAGTTGGTTTTTTTTTCTAATGGGGTCCGAGACGCTATAATACCGTGTAGTTTTTTTTTTTACTGTAGCTGCAGCGGGAGGCGGGACACAAAAGACCGCGCGTCTATAATAAACGTTAAATATAAATTAATAGAATATTGAAATAAAATAAAATAATAAAAAAATAACCTTAGTCATGTTGATTAATAGTCGCGGTATACGACGACGGTACAGAACTTTCGCCCGGATCGGGTATAATAACAATGTTTTTTTTTTTTTTTTTTTTTTTTATCATTATATTATTATAGATTTTAAATTTTCGGACGACTATACGACTACACGCGCGGTTTCGGTTTCTATGCAACCGCGGTGTCGATTTTATATCCATTACCCAATAACCGACGGTACCGACCGTCGGTTATTGAGACGAGAGATTCGCGCGACAATTCGTCTGACGGGCGTACGATATCCAATTAATTAATATAACAATATGAATTAATAATTGTTTGAACTTTAAATACGATAGTGTATAGTTTAATTGTAACGGCGATAACGCGCCGTAATAATATTATATCCGGTAAACGACAATGCGAAAAAAAAAAAAAAAAAAACAAACAAAAGTGTATAAATGTCACGAACGTGTGTACCTACCAAAACCGTATATTATTATGCTCTACGGTGGTGAACAAACGGCTACCACAATACCCGTACGACAATGGCACGGCGGTGTATAATAATATTAAACAAATAAAACGATGACAATAATAATATTACGCTATTAATATTTTTGTTTTTCAATAAAACTCTCGCGCGATCGCCGCGGTCCGATGACGGTGTAATCAATATGGGCATCAACGTGCCTACACCTATTATCTATACGTAACGGACAATATTCAACAGACCGTCGCCGGGCACCTATCATTGTTATTATTATTATTATTGATTTATTGTTTTACGCCGCGGTGTACTTTTCCGTGTGTTGTGTTGCGAGCATCCTTTATACGGCAATACGGCAATCTGTTGTCGTCGACCCAAATCGACCGTAAAAACGATTAGCCGTGTTCGCCCTCCCCCCCCCTCCCCCCGATCACGTGCTGCCACCGCTGGCCAGACGATCAGACTTCGTATACAATAATACAAAATAATTATCTATCGGTCGCGACGATCTCGCGTTGATCACTTTCGTTCGTTTCCGCCAAGAGATGAAAGCTATAATAGTCTTGTCATTGTGTTCCGGCCCCCGGATACACAACTGACTCCGTATGCATGTATATAAATATTATCGTTTGTGGCGATGGTCGGCGAAACGTTTGCAAACCACCGCGCGTTTTTCACATCACCCGCAGCCCACCATTGTCTACGTTATATACACTAAATTGGCGATTAAAAAAAAAATTTTAAAAAAATACGCACACACCAACTATAATACGTCACATAAGTACTTACGCAATGTATTTCGTTGGTTTATGAAATAAAAACACAAGTAACAGAAATGTCCAAGTCATTGGATAAAGAGGATTAGAAATGCACAAGTAATAAGGGATCTAGTTTAAGATGAGTATTGGATTTAGTATACATTAAGTATACTTGATCAATGACAGAAAAAACGAAAGAGAACCGATTGAAATTATACGGTGATGGTGTGTCTGTTGAGATTTCAGATACATTCGTCCGGTACATTCGTTTTGTTTGTATCATATTCTTTTCCTTCGTCTCTTTTCCCAACTATTTGGAATCAGCCACCTTGGTTTTAAATCTTTCACGGTTTTCCACATCATAACTATCGAAACAACTGCTATCCCTCTTTTACTAATTTATTATACTATCCTTTCTATAGTGACTCCACCCGACCAAGCTTTCTAGTCTCTGCTGTACTCATCGTCTGCTCTACCTTTCTGTCCAATACCAAACATGCTAAACCGTGTTGATAAAATAGAACATATTTGACCGTTTTATAACCAGGACCCAACTCGTATGTGCGATCCCCTCCACACAATGAAAACCACTTAGAATATTCATTATCCTAAATGGTTTTCACACGGACGTACCGCATTGACCTTTGACCTTCCGTCCGTATACTTACACGCTCCTACATAATATCGCGTCACCAAACGGTGTCTAGGTCACGTTTATTTTGAAGAGCTCGTCTGTATGACCTAAATACGCGTATATCGTGTTTTCTGCACACGCAATATCCGCTTTTCCTCCGATCGCACTGACGTCATATATTATCGTCGAAGTGCCAATTTGTCTCTGTCTCGATTCGATTTTCACAGTGGTCGCGATAGAATGAAACCTGCCGACGACAGTATAGTAAACCGGGATGAAAAATACAAAATACTGCGACATACTTCCAATTTCTCATGTGCACGTGTTGAGTATATTATTATTCGAAATTTCGCGAAAGTAACGATGATAAATTCGAAAGATAAACATAATTTTGAAAATTGATTCGGATTTTATGTTTAACCTGTAATTTTTGAAAATAAATTTTGTCGGAATTATATTATTTTGAAAAATATATTTTGTTGAAATTTTATTCATTATAATTTTAATTTTTAATTTCTTTTTAAAATAAAACTTTAACACGAAACTTATTTGATTATAAATATTATTATCATCTTTTAGAAGAAGAAACAAAAAAAATTTTTGGTCAATCAATAATTTTTCTTTCTGAATTTAAATTTCTTTTTGAAACACAAAAGACAAAATAAAAAAAATAGAGTTTCACATTATAAAATAATTGGTACTTACGTCAATATTCATTAAAATGTACACAATACTACTAAATTATTACCATTGTTTGGTTTTAATTCTATTCATCTAATAGTTTTTCAAGACACTATTATTGTAATTAGAAATAAATGTACGGTTTTAAAATAATGCGCGAATTAAAATAGGTTACATTTTTTAATTACAATACTAATTTTTAATACTACAGTTGAATAGTTCGAAAACCAATGGAGATATGAAATAAGTATTCTAAATATATCTAATGTTCTATACAGAGTGATTTTATCTCTATTCAAATTTGTGTTCAAAAGGGGGGTCTATTTGAAAATAAAAAGTATGTACTTATTTAAGGTATATGGGAGTATAACAGTTTTCTTTAATTAAATGATTTTTATATATTTATTTGATAAGAGAGAGAGTAGATTGTATAATTTTCCTTATTTGTATTGGCGTTAAGGATTCATTCAATATTGTATAATAATATGTACGTACCTATATTTAAGTTAGATAGAATATTGCACAACACTATCTAAAATTATTATTCTTAATTTTTTTTAAATTATATTATACTTAATATAATTAGATAAACACATTTTGATTGTGACGAAAACTTATTAAATCGATATAGATTTTTCAATGGTTATAAAAAAAAAAGAATAAAATACTGCAATTTAAAAACCAAGATCGCACAGTCATCATATTGTTATTGAGCCAATGCGTGAAATTACAGAAAAGAACTTCAAATACATATAATATTGCATAGGTATCTCAAAAAGAAAAAAAAAAATTTATCCAACGCAATGCCAAGTGGATATTCAGTGAAACGTAATTTACATTTTTTTTTTTCAAGTGTAAATACACTCTGTACAAACAACGATGAGTTTCTTATTATAACCATTAACCATCATGAAAGGAATAATAATATTTTAAATCGCTAAAGGAGAACTCTTTTATTTGTTTTCGAAATTCTTAAAACATAACTAGGAAATTTCCAAAAAGTCCCGATCTTATGTCAAGTCCCTATCAAATCAATATACTCGTGCAAGTTTCTCTGCGAGTATTGTGTCAATATTGGAAATTCCACCGGTCGGAACATTGTAAAGTAACGTAATAGTATTATATAACAGTCGAATGAATCGCGGTTTTCTTTCCGATGTGAAAATTACCGAATTCAGAAAATACTATTGTTTAACTCTAAAATGTATATAATAATGTATACTAAAAATATTATGATGGGTATCTTATTGAAAACAATAGTATCATCAATTTTTGATAGGTCAGCGCGTAACTGCAGACGTGTATAAAATCGATACTAGTGTACTATACATAGAACACAGAAGCTGCAGTTCGTATCACGAGTTCGTATAAACTTCGTTTACGGGAGTCTTGGGGAAGGGGAGGGGAATTTGAAACGTACGAAATTCGCAATATTTCTATGCCGCGAAATAGGATAAGACAAATGATACTAAACGTAGGATAATATATTATTATAAGATCGCGGAACATAATATAACGACCGCTACAGCATGCAGCAGCCGCAGTAATAATAACGGTTTCGCGTCCGTTATATTCGCGCGTTTTGTAAAATATATATTTTATTTATAGATGTTATTATTGCGTAGTTATAACAAGGCGTAGCCCACGAGTAATGAAAAGTCGTTTATAATAATATGTATTGGTCATACGCGGCGATATTTTTAATGAAACGTCCCTAAGTATTATTCCGTTAGGAATTAGCGGAATTTATTTTCGACGATGGGTTGCGAAAACCGGATAAGCATACGCCGCACCGACGCGGTCGTCGCCGTAATACGAGGAGACTTTAATGCGCGCGCACATATTATATTAATAATAATGATAATGATAATGATTTATCAAAGACGCCGTTTCGCGCATTTATACACCGTACGGACGATGACGGTTGTCGTCGATTGGCGGTCCTCGGACAGACTAAGGAGAACTGGTCTCTCGAGTGCGTATAGAATTTAGGTCGGCGTATAGGTTAGGTGAACATAGTATAATATTGTGTGTATATACATACGGTATAATAATAATATTATTATTATACTGAACGTGGTACTTCCACGAGGGTCACCGGTCAGAAATAACCGGCAAAACATAGCTGCGCACGCCGAGTGTATCGACTTATTAACTGTTTCACGTCGTCGTCGTCATCTGCATACTCGTCAGTATAGGCACGTATTATTATTTGATATCGATTTTTTTTTTTTCACGAACCTATATGTATAAACACACGTTTTAGGTGGGTAGGTATCATAATATACTATTATTACCGTAATAATATGTTATTATACGCCGCCGCCACGCCGGAGGAATAAACTGCTGTAATTTACAGCGCTTCGAAAAATAATATATTATATGTGATACCATAAAGCCTATAGTATAAAATATAATACGTGCAGGTATATAATACCTGTATAACATATACATATATAGTGTATTATCGTTTTATGAGAATGATGTGGTTCACTGTGCGCATGTCACGCGTCTTTGCAGTGTTTTAAACACAATACAAACGTGTTAAAAAAAAAAGGACCAATTTCCGCGGTTCAAACATATTATTACTATTTTGTGTCGTATACGGATATAAAACTATATACGCGAGTATAATATCCAGTGTTACCCGTCGCCATCGTGCAGTACACAATATACATGCAAAATAGTATACATGCAGGATGGTTATTTTATTATAATACAAACCGGCATCGATTATTATCTATATATTGTATACGAAGATTTAGAGTTCGTATTCATTTTTCCTGGGGTTTATTTTCAGATAAAATATCACCCTTATGATTAGTGACATAGAATTTCCATTATAATTTCCTTCAGCAACATACATTTTTTAAACGATGCTCTATAGATAAAATTTTTCTAAAAAAAATGTGCTGCACACAATACACATACACTATAATCCTATCAAATTTAGGTACCGTTTATAAGTTCAGACAGTTTAAAATGTTTGTCCGGAGTTCGGTGGTATCTATATATTATTTGGGTATGCAATTTATTACCCTTAGTTATTACTCCGATCTAAATTGTAAACTGTATTATATTATAAAAAAGGGTACCTATATGAATTAAATTTACTCAAAATCGTTGTTTTATGAGAGAAAGAATCATCCTGTGTACGCTGCTGACCATGAAAACCTACTGGCACACAACGCTATATATTATTATCATCATGCACATTCCTTTCGTGATGGCAGAATCTCAGTATAATTGAAACGTTTTACAAGTGTGCCTCGTGGTATTCGGCGTCTTACTATAAACAGAAGTGCTTCCTATTTCATGTGCTGTAAAACAAATCAATATATTATTATCTTTATAAAACCGTGAACTTCAAAATTCCATGTACATGCATACAAGTATTCACGTCTCCAGTGTGTAAGATTTAGAATATAAAGCGAAGAAACTATTATATAGATTCACTACACAAATAACCATACTTTTCACACTTTTTCTTGTACCTTATACAAGTAGCGGATTTTCTGCCCGGTAGCTTTTTATTTGAAAACTTCGAAATTTAATCGGTGTTACCACAACTATAATTTGTTATATTCCTTTTAGGATTTATAGGATTTATTATAAACAGTGGAACTATATAACTGAAAATATTGAATATTTTTCGACGTAATTTTTGTAAGCGAAAAAATAACATTTTTTTTAACCGAGCTAAGTTAAACAATTTTTAGATACTGAGTATAGCGAAGAATGTATTGGTATACTAAGATGTTATTTTTTTTTCCTTTTTTTTATCCTGTGTACAAAAATTCGACCAAAAATCATGCTCAGATATATATATATATATATACGCGTGGCAACATTTCTGAAAGGGAATGTTGTCCAGATGGTATATTTGGAAGGTCATTTTTTGATTTTTCAAACGGTTATCTAGGAAAAAACGGGATAAAATGTCGGTAAACGGAAAATGTACGAAATGTAGGTATTAGTAAACAAATATTTCGGCCTTCTTTTTTTCTGTGAATTTTTCTACCAGCAATTTTACTCCGATTTACAATGGTAGCACTTTTTCTGAAAGTAAATCTGACTGGGAAGGTACTTTATGGAGGTCATTTTTCAATTTTTCCAGCAAATGTAAAAAACCGTGAAAAAAGGGGGAAAAAATAAGAAAATATATAATGCCTATTTAATTATTTTACCATAATATGACATACCAGGTGATTCATTTAAGTGCATTCATTATCTCGGAAAGTATTAACTTTTTCCGGAATTTGTTTTCCAGAACACTTAAGAAACAAGCTGCTCCACAATTTGATAATAGTGTTATTATTTTTCACCCTTATTTTTTGGAGTAAAACAACTACCTTCTATTGATTTTCAAATTGCAACCTATATTAAAAAGTCTATGAATAGTTTGAGTATTAGTTAAAATAAATTTTAGTGTTGAAATTTTTGAATTCTGTCGAGCCATTAAGGTACACTAATGGTACTCCACGACTCTACAGCTTGTTTCTTGAATGTTCTAGAAACAAATTACGGAAAAAGTTAATACTTTCCGAGATAATGAATGCACTTAAATGAATCACCTGGTATATATTGTTGACAAAGCATCACTATCAACTGAACTGCGCTCATAATCGTTTTTTCGTTAGCAATAGTTTATCGTTGATAAACAGATATACATTCAATTACTTATAACAGTAATTACGTCTATCTTCATTATCCTAGGACGTCTTTTTTTAATTTTACCTTTTAACTTATAAGAGTCATAATGAGTTGTATGTATTTTTGTTAACTTTTAACCGAATGCTTTATTGTTCATTAAACATAACCTAATCGAATCAATTATTTATTCATTAACTGGCAGTCTACCTTCTCAAACCGAGTTACCGACAAGTATAATATAGTACCTACCCAAAATGCATTGGGACTTAACTAGTTTACTATCGCTACCAATATATATCAAAACCACTGGGGTCCGGGACCCAACTCGGACGCAGCCCAATAATGATATACAGAACTATTATTATACGTAGCTTGTTAAGTCGTATCATATCGCGTCCACCGTCCGAATAGAAACGCGTTTACAGATGTTGTTATACGCGGTTATAGTTTCCGCGACCGTCTGAAAAGATGAAAAAAAAACCCCCCGAAAAATAAACCGCGATCGCATATTATACGTTTCCAAACCCTCATAATACGTGACGTGTACACACATACCTATAATAATAATAATATTATGTTACACAGCGCTGCGGTCGCGCGATTTCACACGCACTCGCGCGATTATTTTGTGTCCACGAAAAATTATTAATAATCAACGGTACACCGGCTGTATTATTATTATATTATTTTTATAATGGTGTACACAACGGACGAATGTAGACCGAGACCAATTTTATTACCCGACTTACGAGAATATAATATATATAGCATAGGTACATGCATAATATTGTTATTTTATACCAACGCGGGTATTTGTTTCTTATATTATATTTTCATTTTGCTTCCGTCCTCCTCTCGGTGGAGACAATGCGCGTAACACGAGCGGCAACGGCGGCGGCGGCCACCGTTGTTGTAGTTATTATTATGAATTATTATGTTACCTGCCTATTATTACTTTTTTTTGTTTTTTTTATCGTGGTCCGGGAGCGGGTAAAATATTGTTGGTTATTCGACACTGTAATGTCACGACGGGTAAGGTGCCAGTACCGCGGGTTTTCGTGGCGCACTGCAATGGGGCCGATGACATCGCGAAGGCTGGAAAAAATAGCATTTATCAAATTGGACCTTATCGTGGTTTTGATAGATATTAGGTATAGCACACTAATCGGGTCTCAATGAGTTTTGGGTACTAGTTGGGCATTAACGTTTAAAAGAAATACAAAACATTTTTCTTCTCATTTTTACAAGCTTAGAACTTAGGATGTATTTTTCTATCATTTTATCCTTTAGACATCTTTTTTTTTTTTAATTTTGATCGCAAAACTCGACTTGAATGTGCCGTTTTCATTGACTATATGCGTTTTAGATTTACACTCACAATAAGACGCTATGTTACTATTATAACTTCTTTGGCGTATAGTATTTATGTAGGTTTGGATCAACGAGCAAGTTATGTTTGATAAATATAATATTATTTTTCTTTCGCGGTTTCGGGAAAAATTCCCGCATCGCGGTAGTTGATACAGGAATGTAAGTACAGGAATAAGTCAGTCCCTATCGATTGCGGCGTCCTAGTTTATGTGTTTGGAGGTGTTTAATTTGTTGCAGTCATCATAATATATTTAATGTCGGCAGAATTTTTCGTTTTTATATTCGCTACATACTATAACAGATACTCTGTTTTAATAATAACATAGCCGAAATGTGTAAATGGTAATATATTTTAAGTAGAATCTTATAGTACGGATTTTATTCGAAAATCAATCACATGTACCGTAACTCGGACGTATACGCGTATAATAATAACACAGAGTTACACGTGTATTACAATAACCGGTTATAATCTCATGTTACATTATATGGTAATCTTGAGTGCCTATATAGACACGTTTCCTACACGGTTTGATTCGCTCGTAGTTATATTATTAGGCATTTCGTTGAGAAAAGTTCAATAACGCATATGAAAAGCCACATGATGATAGACGTGTTTCCGGAAACAAATATAAAACTAACGAATATCAAACAAATACTATACTGTATTCGTTTAAGTGTATATTTAGCACAATAAACGAAAACGATTTTATCGATTTCGTTATGCGCGATCGTTTTTTTTTTTTTTAAATAATAAAAATCGAATCTATTCTTCTTCCTCTTTGCACGCAAGTGAAGTCAGCTATATTATCTTATTCTCGCTGTTGGCTTAAATATCTCCTTGCCTACTAGCACATTTTTTTTCCACTCGTTCTCATATTTCCTCCAATGACCTCTAGCCAATTTTTTTCCTGACCATCCTCTTCTCCGGCTCCCACGTCTATACATTTAACTTGTCGACTATCTACCTGACCATCTCAAGTTATCCTCTCTAATTTTTTTCCCGCAGTACATTCTATTCGAATAACATCAACTCTTATATTATAATATTCGTTCTTAATCCGGAATCCCATTTTACCGGGTCACATCTCACATTCTTCACCATATAATATAACAATATTTATAAAATCGTATATTAATTTAAAACACGATTATTTATACCCAACATGAAATACACACTGTTATTATTTCCATATTAACTGCGACTAATTCACTGTTTAATTTTTTTTTTTTCGTGACCCACGTAGAATTTAATACGCTTATAATCACTAGGTAGATGGACCAGAGACCGGGTCCCGTGTCCATATCATTATCCGCGAGGAAATGCAAATTTATTAAATTTACATACTATATTTAATTATTCTTGTTGTCCCAAATACTGCAAAAACGAATTATTAAAATCTCGTATTTAAAAAAGATAATGTTGAGTTAATCACTAAATTTTGAGTAGATACATTATTTTAAAGTGTTTAACGACCAACGAGAATCCGACGAGATTCTTCGACTGTATAACCCAAAAAATATTTTGTGAAGTAATAACTAAAAAAAAAAACAAAAAACAATGCGCTCAAATATGCATACATTACGTGTAATAAATTGCGTTCGACGGCGCTACATATATGCTTAGTTCACATGTAACATGTTTTTATTTTTGTTTCTATAATAACTCTACTAAGTATTTTGTCTGATTTACAACATATATATTATTATATTATATTGTTTTCCGCGAGATAACCTGCGAATACCAGCCGCCGAGAACTAGATTCCACGATAATCATTTATGTAATTCAATTGTGCCGAGTATTCGCCATTTCATTCCGTATACTTGCGATTTTCTCAGACGCAACGACATACGACGTACCATTTATTTTGCTCTAATGACGACGATTAAGTGCACAAAGACGAGTATATTATATTATAGTTAACCGTACGCCGTAACGGTTCTGGTGCCAATTGTCGTCCGGATGACATCGGTAAAGACGTACCTATATAAATATATATTATAGCGGATAAAGAAACTTCTCCTCCCTATCATAAACCCTCGTCGCGATCCCGCTATTTTTCGCGAGTATATCACAGTCGTGCCCGTAAATTTGTGGCTGAGTAGTGATCATTTTTTCACATTTTATCCCGTACAATATACAATACGCGCGAAACCAAATATAGAAATGCAGTCATCGTATACATTATTATTATCATTATCATATTATATAGACGCGGACGAACTATATACGTTCCGCGTACGAGTTTTCCGTTATACTTATAAAGATATACTATTATTCTATTAAAATATTTTTTTTATTTTTATTGTTTTTTATCGCTATACAGAGAAGACATGACGTGCGGCATAGAATGCATCGATAAATGGCTGACCAAAGCCTTTTACAGACTCGGCCATATAGTGGCCAGACATCCTGGGTACTTTTTATTGGTCCCCGTGTTTTTGACGATCATCTGCGTCACCGGGATCCAGCGGGTACAGTTCGAAATCGATCCCGAATATCTGTTCAGTCCCGAACACGGACCAGGCAAGACTGAACGAGCAATTGTCGAGAGCCAATTCAAAATGAACTATTCGTCGCTTTTTAATCCGACGCGGATCACCAGACCAGGTATATGGACAATGCGAGAAGGATGTATACTAATATTATAGGAGAAAAAAACCAATAAAATATCTGTTTCTTGAGTAGTTTCAAATATCGGCCATATATAGAAGAAAAAAAACCGTAAACCCCATCATTTTTCTAGCCCCTAAAAATATATTTCGATCGAATTAATTACTATATGTACACGCATATAGTATTTATTTATTTTTATAGATAAAAAAAAAATAGAAAGAAAGAAAAGTGAAATTTCTAAAGCCTATCTATAATATTTTTTTTTAAAATTATAATAATAATAATAACAACATCAACGTTACGGGCGAATATTTCAAAATCTATCGAACAATGTAAAAAATGCACATTAGATTAATAAATGAAGACGATTTCATCAATGTGACAAAGACATTTTTTTAAATTATTAAAGCCCTGTTTTAATCCGACTTATTAAACAGTTATAACGGGAAATTCTATTATCGAATATTTGCCATTTATATCTTAAAAATGATAAGATTATAATAACTAAAAAGAATAATGGCTTCGCAATAATTAACGAGATTAATTTGTTTTTATAACTGATGCAAATGCAATAATAATTTCTATAGAACGTAGATACAATTTTTTTTTTTTTAACTGTAGACGACAAGTAACCAGTCAGTTTTAAACGTATACGCGTCTGTTTGAAAACAATCTTACATACACCATATACAAATGTAATACTATTTTCCCGACAGTCATTTTTATCAGTGGCGTAATAGCCGGACAAAATTCCTTTCGTTCATTTTAAAAAAAATCTCAATTCTCCACAAATCAACACTTAAAAATGACATTTTTTGAAATTTCTTAGGGAAAAGGATGGGGTGCGAAAATTCCAAAACCCCTATCCCCTGGCTGCACCGCTGATTTTTATAATACCGTATATATTACATCAATACCGTTTTATATCATATTTCACAGGGCGTTTCGGTCGAGTGATAGTGATACCAAAACACAGTGATACTATGCTGTCCGTGGAAATATGGAAAGAATTACGATTGTTGGACAACATCGTCAGAAACGCAACGATCACATGGGGTCCGGAAAACATGACTTACAAATACGATGACATATGTGCGCGATGGATAGATCAGTGTTTCCCGAACGATATTCTAAACCTGGACTACGTTATGGAGGACGTGGAAAACGGTACGCTGAAGCTCACGTTCCCGATCATGTTTAATCCAGTGACGTGGGACGCGCACACATTTCCGGTATATTTCGGCGCCACGGAAATGGACGATGACGGACTCATCACGAGAGTGCCCGCGTTACAACTCGTTTACTTCATTACTGCTGACACAAAAGCTCAAGACCAAAGGTAATCATTGAGTATGTATGTGACGAGTCTTCTTCTCCCTCGCCTTCTCCTTAATTATCGGGAGTCGGTCACCATGGTTCCAAACTTCCACATGACACGATCTCTTATCCCGCATACGCCAGCTGTCCTCATATAATTCTCAATCACATCCAACCACCTCTTTGTCGGTCATCTTCTTACATTTATTTTCATTACAATTTTAACTGCTTCGAACTCCTGTATTCCCACAAAATGCCAGCCAGATATCTCAGTCTTTATTTTCTCTCGTTTTGTCTACTATCGAAACTACGCACCTAAGCTATCTTTTATGTACTCATTCCTTATCCTATATGTGATTAGTGAAAAAAAAATGAAAAGTTTTTGATAGCTATATATATTGATTATAGGTACGTATACAAGAGGAATTTAGGGGCTAACCTCCCCTCCTGAATTTTGATCATTATACTAGTTCTAAAATTCAAAATATTTAATTTGTTTATTTATGAACCCAACCGAAATTGTTTTCTAGTACATCTAATTGATTATAATATGCAACTGCGACCAATTTTCGGGCATTATACTTGACGTAAGTTTACATTTACTGAACGGTTTGCACTGCTGATTGCATGTTTTTTCTGATAAGAAAAAATATCGAGATGCTTACTCATATATATATATATATATATATATATATATGCTAACCGATGTGACGTTTTAAAAGTTTTACGTTATAATAAATCCGCTAGGTTAACAAATATTTTTGTTTTATGGAAATAATATCATTACGGTTTAAAAAATTTCCCGTCAAAACATTAATATGCATTATGGTCTATTTAACCGTTGTAAATTCGTAAAAATAATTTCCGTATGTCCCGTTCTAGGGTTTCCTTTAAAAGGTATAAATATATTATACTTGAGTTTTAATCGAATATTTAAACAAACTTTAATGACAGTACGAAAAAAAACTACTGAAATAAAACACCTAATAAGCTGATAAACTTTGTTTCAATAATATAATCGCTTACCATTAAAACTAAGTGCACTTGACTAAATTTCAGGTAGTACAATACCACTATTAAATATAGTCTTAATAACTTATACTGTACGCCGTACATCTATTTACTCAAAATAAATAATGTTTCCCCTCGTTCAATTACAATAATATTATATTGTCTGTCGGTAATTCACGTGTTTTCACGAAATAGTTTTTGAATAATAAATACAATGACCTGATATTTAATTCGAAATTCATTGTTTCAAAATGTGATGAAAGTTTTTTAAATAATTTAACGTAACAAGTCGCTGGATAACGTTGACAGCTCGAGCGATATTAGCGAATCGACTTTTTTTAAAAAATAAGTTGAGGTTATTCATTTTTATATTCACTCGAGCGCATAATTTAAAGGTTCGGGAAAAAAAATGAATGATAATAGGGATGAACTTAGTGAAAATTCGTAAAATAACTACTATGTTCAGGACAACAAGCTGCGACATTTTCCTTGGATTCATCAATCAGATTAGATTCGAATTTGTAGTTTTTGTCTATTTTATTGTCTTTATACTTATATATACAACCTACCTACTTGTTGTTACCTATGCCTGTTATAAGACTCTCGCTATAAATATTATTACCTACCTATTTTATGACCTACAAAGCCATTTACTTTCGTATTCCCTATACTGATTAGTAATTGCCTCGAAACAGATGTTTTCGAAAATAGAAAGTATACAGGCACATAGGTATTTTTCAAAACCGACAATTTATTACGCGTTTATACTCGTATAATGAAGCTTTAAACTTACAATAATATTAAAGTGTACACTACTATACATTTTCACGCGCATTCGAAGTCGTTCAAATGAAATGTATAGGTTGGACGGTTAGGTTAGGTAAGTTGTAGGTAAGTTCGAAATTAATGTTCGGTTTTAAACAACGTTCGCAGGGGTTCGGTGTGGGAAGAGGCGTTCTTGGACGCAGTAGGTAAAGCCGAGGACTCGGGCCGGTTCCGTCACATATCCACAGCTCGTTTCGGATCCCGGACAATGGACATCGAGCTGGAGAACAACACACGGACGGTTGTGCCGTACTTCTCGTCCGCATTCATACTGATGGCCGTCTTCTCCGTAGCCACGTGCATGATGACCGACTGGGTGCGCAGCAAACCGGTGCTCGGGCTCATGGGCAACGTGTCCGCCGCCATGGCCACGGCCGCGGCGTTTGGTTGCGCCATCTACGCTGGCATACCGTTCATCGGCATCAATTTCGTGTCGCCGTTCCTCATGTGCAGTTAGTATCCGCCCGATACTCATTTAATTATTATTATTATTCAAATTTGGTTATAAAATCATCGGTATTAGAAGCAAAGCGTATAAAAACTCCGTTATAATAAACACCGAGGACATCGGACCTCGTGAACTTCGACTGATCTATACGGGTGGAAAATAAAAAGGAATTTGAACGAGTTCAACGCAATCAAAACAAGGTTTTGTCACATGGAATTGTGGTGCAATGATAGGCCGAAAAACTCGAGGATTGCAGTGAGCGATGGTTAACGGATCGTTGCGTGTCCTGGTGACCAAACGCTAGGGGCAGGGTAACCCTATATCCAATAATAGGCGCACGAAGGTTAGGTTAGGTTAGGAAATTGTTTGTCATTTTTTATTTCACTATTTTAATTTTTTATACGTACGTTTGATTATCGCTGTTCTATCGTACCTTTATAATATATCAATTATAATAAATTGGCGTTCCGATATTATTACGCGCGTTATACTCGTAAAACGAATTTATTGTTAGCAAAATTGTTTTGACCGCGACGATATAAATACAAATTAAATCCTGGACGACACGAAATCACGCAGCAAGGTCGTCTTTTCGGCGTCTGACATTTCGTAATAAAACGTCATTATTTTTTCTGACCAGAATAAATTTAAAAAGAACCTACGGAATAATAACTAATAAATTCTTATGTATTTATAATATTCATTATAAAAATATATATTTTTTACCTAGCGGTTGTTTCTTTTTTTTTTTTTTTTAAGAACTACAGACGAATATTGAAATTGGAAATTAGAAATTGGCGAATTTAACATATTATTTACATCGTATTCAATACAACTAAATTCCGTGTGCATCAGTACATACATTTATGCTATTTCGTTTTTACACATTGCCAAAAATTTATTTTACATGGAACTCGTATTATTGTACCTACCGACTAAAAAAAAAAAAAAAATTGATAATCTATACGACTCATTGTAAAAAGACGATACACATTTACGATGAATCGTGTTAAAAAAATATACGAGTTTTATATCAATCGATCTGTCTTTTCATTTTAATTTTTTTTTCAACGCCCAGTCTATCATCGAACGAATAAAATATAATGCGACAGTATACAAAATATAGGAGACTAGGTGTATAGGTATATAATAATATGATATCCAAACCCAAACACATGTAGACATCGCGTCTATATAAATGCGAATTTCACGCATAAAAACCGAATAACGTGCGTCTGTTCGATTATATTATTATTATTATATCCGGCACGACTCTATTATACGAAATTTTTGTAAAAAAAAAAAAAAAAAACCGACGCGAGATAAACAATATTTTGCCCGTGAAATCGCTATTATCGTGAAATATTCGGATAGGTAAGCGATTTTTTTTTTGTTTTTTTGTTTAATCTTATAACACTTTAAACATAATTATAATTCTACGTACGTATTGTATCTATTAATCTTTTATAATTATACCTGTGAAGCTGCGTTTCGGTACAACATGTAATCGGGTCCACCGCGCAATGTACGAACAAGTTAATAATTAAAACGTAAACAACCGTCGTCGTAAAAATTGTTTTTTTTTTTTTTTTTAAACGTATCGGTAGGTACCTACTGTGAAATTATCAGACGTCAAATAACATCATATACTTATTATGTAGTCCGACTAACGGCACACGATATAGTATTATTATTATTATTATACTATTTACGTTTTTTTCCAAGTATATACACACGAGGATAATTCGAGTATACCTATATATATCATTAAAACTAAGCACACTCGGGTAAATTTCAGTAGTCTCTTAATGATAATTTATTTTTCAACTCGAATATAGTTTTATATGTTTTTCCTCTGGCGCGGAACTAGATCATTATAGGTAGATTAAATTGTATACTATTTACGTTTTTTGTTCTAAATATAATATATATACGAGTTTTATCGCTATCTAAATCATTAAAACTCAACGTACTCGGCAAAATTTCATTCTTATAATTATAATTTGTTTTTCAACTGGAATATAGTATTATAAGTTTTTCTTATTTCTATATATACTGAATGCGTTCAACTACGTAATTTACGCGTTTTCGAGAAAAATACTATCATACAAAAAAAAAATTGCTTTTACTAATAACAAAATACTATACTGATAGGTGTGCCACTTCGTGTAAAATTTTCTAACATTTCTGCTCGGCTATAAACTATAATTATATTGTGTCCACGTAAAACCGAATAAAAACTATAAACAACTCGAACATTTCAAATGACTATAAACAGATCAAAATATCGCCAGAATATTTTGACAATTTTACCATATCTAGAAATGGATATAATAAAATTATTCTTTGAAAATTTTAAATACCTACGATTGTTTTTAACCGAAATACAATGAAAATATCAAAACCAATAATAATTAAACCGTTATTTCCGTAAATTTTCTCATTTTTTCTCGGTATCCAAAGCAACAGTAAATTATTACAATAGAAAAACAGCTCTGAACGATGTCTAATATAGTTATATTATACAGAGTGATCAATCTATCGTAAGACACTCGTTATCTCGAAAAGTATTAACTTTTTTCAGAATTAAATTTATAGAAAATATAAAAAACACGCTGCTCTGTAATTTTACATTTATGTTATTTGTTGTCACCCTTATTTTTGGGAGTAAAATCACTACCTACTTTTGATTTTCAAACAGCGACATATATTAAAAATTCCAAAAATAGATGAAATTTTAGTTAAAATAAATTTTGATGTTTACATTTTTGGTTGCCATTTAAAAATTAAAATTAGATAGTGATTTTATCCCTAAAAATAAGGATGACAAAAAATAACATGAATATAAAATTGTAGAGCAGCTTGTTTAATTAGTGTCTTATGATAAATTCATTGATCACTCCGTATAGTTATTATACAAGGGGAAATAGCATTGATCATACTATTACCCCTTGTAAAGCCAAAATAATCTAGAAATCAACAAGAGTAAAAACGACGTATTGATATTTCCTATTAGTTTTAATCAATTTTTTTTAAAATAAAACTATTGCGAATCTATACATCTGTTAATATAAAGTACCACTGAGCAAATAATCTGTTTTTTTTTTCTTTAAGAAACGACGTGGTACTTTTTGGAAAAACAAAAAAAAAAAAATTTCCGAGAAGAAAAAACACCTCATAAGGTATCTTTATAAAATTAATATAGCTTCTATTCGTTACACACGAAATCTAAAATAAATGAAATTAGTTGACACGATCGTTTTTTTTTTTTTAAGTTTTATGTAATCAGATAACAAGCGAAAATTCAGTCTGCATTACAATATCATAATAATTTTCCGTAATTATTAGACCGACAATTTTCCTCGCAACGGAGATTTCAAATTAAGCCTATTATTAATTTAACGTGAGCTGCCTACTCTGCTGTTTATTTTTGCAATTAATACGAATGTGAACGTGTAATTTGTATACAGTCTCGTAAAAATGTTAATATTATATCGTACTATAATTATCGTATCTATAACAAAACAAATATAAAAAAAAAAAAAATACCAATTAACAAGTAAATAACAATTAGATTTCCATCGTAAATTTTTTTTACATCAATTTGAGAGCCTTTCTCCCTGGTTTCTATATTAAACTACCGAATAAGTATAATGATTTAGTTTAACAACGTTGATTGACAAGGGGTTTCGTTATTTTCAAAACTCATGTGACGAATATGTTCAGAACCCTACCCTAACTATACGAGTATATTGTGTGCGTGTGAAACAGTTTTAAATTCTGAGGAATATATTGGTTATACTATGGCATGTTCAGATCGTCAACTTCAAAGATGGCTTTTGTAAGGAATTTTTATCTATTTGGTGCTCTTTGAGTAATTGTTTTATTTTCCTTGTAGTTTTTTCATAAAGAAAATTCGGGAAAGCGGGAATATTCCCGTTTTTATTATTTTCGATTTTTTTTTTTACTGTAATTCAGTTAAAAATAATCGTAGTAACCTGCAGTTTTCACAGAATATTAATTTTAGCCTTTTTTTTATAGATGTGGTAACATTTTGAAAACATTTTAGCGATTTTTGAGCTATTTATCGACGTTTGACATTTTCTAGTTGTTTATATAGTTTTCGATTGGTGTTATGTAGATAAAATGATTTCGGCCCAGCATTTTAATTTAACTCTAGATTCGTCATAATTCGTATTTGCAGTTGTAAAAAAAAAAGTTGAGCGTAATGCAGCATATTTTTATTTTATTTTTGAAATGTTTAATATTCGAATTTCAATAGAAACCGTTAAAATCACGTTCTGCAGTATCTCGCGTACTATGTTTCGATTTATGCGAACAAAAATGTTTCGATGCAGAATAATAACTGTACATTTTCTTTACGGTGATATTACGTCTAAGGGTACAAGTATATTATAACTTAAGCTATTTTTATTTTTTTAAACGTCCCGATACAGTATATATAAACTGCTGCTGTAGCCCGTAAATACCTGTATGTATAATTATTGGATCGTATGACAATGGTAAAATCAACTGAATAGAAAAGAAGCAAGGTGATGGCTGTATAGATATAAAGGTATGTACGCGAATAATCCAATAGGTGATTATTAGCCATTCCGTTGTGGTTCGCGACACGGTTTTTTTTTTTTTTATTATTTGTTTGACACACATTCACAAACACGCACGCGTATAGGTTTAGGTATACTTATATACCTACACAGACGATTTTCACTTTTTACCGAACAAACATACTTCATTATTATTATTATACTTTTATCCGGGCGCGTTAACAACACTATATAGGTATACGTACAAACGATTATTGTATACGGTTTACATAGTTAAAATTATAATTAAATTATCGTTAGTTTATACGTATCAGATTCCGCGCTCTGTTTGCAGTGCTTAGTTTTTGTTTTTGTTTTTTTTCTTACAAGCATCGTTTATAATCACTTTTAATTAATTTTTTTTCGACCATCTTCTTCGAAAGTATATTGGTACTGAACCGCAGTTCGAAATTTACGTACGAACTATTCGGGTTTTTACACGAAATCTAATGATTTTTTTTCGCAAAAATGAGATAGCCCGTTCGAGTTTTAGTTTTATCCCGCAAACGGCATGCCATATTTACCTAGACACTTTGCATAGAGACCGTAGGTAATTATTGGGTTTTGAGCGCTGCAGAAATGCTATATTTTGAAACAATCAAGTGCTCGCATACGACACAATTATTTTATAACTATTTATTTGTATTATGTGTTAGTTATATACTTGATGATAATGCGTCGTACTCGTCTATATTTACAAGTTAAAAAATTCAACAGTACACATATATAGGTATAATTTCGTGATATTTTACATTAGATTCCGTTGCACAACACGGAATTCACGATAAAACACTGCAATACGCTTTTGCCGCATAATACAATTTACATAAATAAATATTAAAATTTTCAATAGATATATAGGTACTATTATTGAATATTGATTGGAGTCGTCGTATTTACACTTTTGGTACACTGTTCTTAGCACCCGTTACACCAGATTATGCAAAATTGCACTTTTGGTGCATATGAGCAAAAAAAAAAAAAAAAATTACATGTCTTGTAATACCTCTTGAAATGTGACGACCGTGGCAATTAGCCCCTATTCCCTCCTCTATATAAGTACCGGATATTGACGTCTAATTTAAATATGGCCAGTCTAAAAAACAAGAAAAATATAAAATCCATATTATTAATTTATTATTAAATTGCGTTATTTATAATAAACATCGTGTCGTATGATTAATATTTTACAATTTTAAAGTAGGTACAGTGTTAATAAAAGACTCAGCTACTGTTTGGCTGTATGCAAAGAGCCAAGAAAATGGTAGGCTGTTTGCGGGAAAAAATAATACTTTAAAACGGACTATGTTTTTGCAAAGTGCGCCCTGGTTTTTTTTTTTTTTTCTGAAAAACACCAATTTCTCTTATAGCCTACGACATAATACTATAATATACAGAATGATTAATCCTTGATAAGACAATCATTATCTTGGAAATTATTATATTCTTTTAACTGAATAATTTTACTTATGAAACAAGCGTACTTATTTTAAAGACGCTTATTGTTTCTTAAATTATCTAAAAAAAGATTTCAAAAAAGTTAATATATTTTCTGAGATAATAAGTATCTTATCGATATTTTATCACACTGTATATATACGCTAAAATCATTTCTTTGGTGCTAAGGAAGAAGAACTAAAGTCAATTTACTTTTGTTTTAATTTTCTATAATTCCACGCCATAACTGTACTATAATTTTCTTTAATTTTTCATAATTCCATAGTTTCAATCATTTTTTTGTATATTTTTTTTTTTTATGAAATGAAATTAATTAAATTGATTAGATTAATTAATTTGTTACCGTCCGTTAACTACACGTGTACCTTAACTACACTTTAACTATCGAGTATGCCTACAAAATATCAAACTAGTTGAATATTTTGTTCCTTTTTCTAAGAACCAAAAGTCGTAAAAATAGTTATTATTAAAATAGGTCGGTACGTCTTATTATAGTCTTCGGATGATGTATATTGTTGGCTATTTTCATTTTCCTATACGTTTTATAATGTCATTTTCCAGGCATAGGCATCGACGACACGTTCGTCATGTTGGCCGCGTGGAGACGGACACCAGTTACCATGGACGTTCCTGAAAGATTGGCCAGAACGCTCTCGGACGCGGCCGTATCAATTACCATAACCTCGGTAACGGACATCGTCAGTTTCTGCATCGGGAAATTCAGCCCTTTTCCGGCCATACAAATTTTCTGCATGTATTCGGGTAATACAATAATAAATAGTTATCCGGCCGGCTATTTCTATACATTTAATGAAAATTCCTAATAATATTCTTTTTTTTTTTGGTTTTCACAGGATTTGCAGTTTGCTTTATATTCATATGGCACTTGACATTCTTCGCCGCATGTATGGCTATCGCCGGATATGCGGAGCACAACAACCGCCACTCGATCGCGTGCATCAAAGTCAAACCGGTATCGTTATCAGGTAAAACAAATTAAAATCGTATTCGTAAAATACAATACAATTTTACGATTCGTAAAATCGTATTTCAGCACATACCTCATGAACGGCTGTTCAAATATAAGTTCATATATGTTTAAAAAATTAAACAGGACTATAATAATTATTTTCACGCTTTATTAGTTGCGCGTTGCAGCAGAATAAACCGAATAATAAACGAGCAATCGGCGATCATAATAATATAATATATGAATACGACCAACGCCGACCTGTTGAAATGTTGAAAATATACAATAATTATAAACTTCTATCTAAAATAAAATATAAAATATAAAATTATTGGCGTGGGTCGTATTTCTATTCGCCTATTTTTTCTTGGATTTTTCCTGAAAATCGATAGTAAATCGAAAACTGTAGTATGATACCATCATGTTTATGTTCAATTTCCTCTGACTGTTATTACATAAAGCTAAAATCCAATGAAATACGTTGATCGCGTGTTTGATAACTCCGCTACCAGAATTGAAAATAATGCGCTTTTATTTTCGTATGACCTTTACAAAATGACAAGTCGTGTGAATTCGTGTTTTTAGGTACACCACGTAGTACGCATTCATGTATCAAGATTCAATATTGCATTTTCCTTTTACTTAATAATGTCAACTTTCAAACTCCTTTCTCTTTATTTTGCCGATACAAAATGTGCATCGCTTTACTACCCTAGAATTCGCATTGGCATGTCCTCTATTTTTACGAACCTTTAATAAACTTGTTCGTGTTAGTGTAGGTACGTGTGATACATAATACTTTTTTGCAAATCTTTGCATTTATAGTAACAATATAATCACTGCAGATTATATCAAATATACCATAATAATATACCTTACCAGTTACCTATATATAGGTAACTTTACAATCCGTACAAAATTTGTAATTCTGTCGTTAACAATGAATTGAACGAGAGAGCTGCTATTAAATATTCGTTTTATAATAACATTTTCTCGTGATAACGTTTTGTAATAGATCAATAAACTCAATATACTCGGCAAGTTTCAATGGGTGACTTTTTTTTAGTGGGTAATCGAAAACGGATGTTACTCTATGTACTAGGATTATTTTTTTCAAATATTAATCTGATAGCCGAAAAATCATAGAAAATGTGAAAAATAAAGGCGATTAAAACTAGTTAAAGATATTGAAAGCGGTTATTCTCCATCTTTATCTAACACTCTTGCAACATGGGATTTTAAACGTGTTTTCATTTTAACGTACCAATTGACTTATAGTGAAGCTATTAAAATTCTGGCAACAAATTTGAATTTGCCATCAAATCCTGTACTTTCCCAATTTATTATTATTTTTTCCAAAAACTAAATTATTCCATTTTTTAATTACTCCTTTGTTATTATGGCTTTTTAGGATTTAAAGAGATTAAGTCAAAACCGTTTGGAAGTCGATCTCAGGTTGACTTAACAACAAATTCAAATCTGTTTCTAGAATCCTTATCATTTTACTAAATCAATCGGTCAATTTGAGTTAAAATACGTCTAAATTCCTATGTTGCACGCATGTTAGACAATAACGGAAAATCATCGCTATCCTTTTAAAATTAATGTTTAATTCCAATATAGCTTTATAAAGATTCGTTTATTCCTTTTCGTTGCTTTAAAATTAAAAATACTAGTACATAATATTACATTTATATCAACACAAAGAAAACCGTACAAATCGTAACATTTTAATCAAATTAACATGCATATGCGTATCTACCATAAGAATATTTTTATATTTTAAACATCAACAACTAGCGTGGAAAGAACAAGAAAACGGCCACTACCCTACAATTTTAGTATAGTTTAACGATTTCTCATACAATACATATTAAAAAAAAAAATGCCGTCCATGCATGACCTAATTTTTTTTTAACAAAATTTAATCTTTCGTATAGTAAAAGTACCGAACTTATAGCCTTATAGGTTCACTAACCTGTTAACTATATACTTAATATACTTAACCGGTTTAAGTGATCTATAACAGGTATAAATATATAATAAATAATTATATATTTTCACTCTTTCTATAAAATCGACCGTCCGAAAAATACATATTACATTTACAACCTATTATTTAACAATTAAAATTTAATTCGAGTAATTATAATAGTGTAAGGTTTCTATGTGCAAAAGCAAAATATTCCGCGTGGTGATTATTACAATATTTAAAAAAAAATTTATAACAGGCATCGTTCTTTATCCGTGGGTATAGGCCGATCAATATTGTAAGTGGGTCGCGTCGTTGCAGGTGGGTGTTTGATACGAAAACGTTGTATACCTCTATTGCAGTTTTCTAAAAAAAAATAATTTCGAGCAGCTGTTAGTTTCGAGAACAAAAATACCTATAGGCATTTTAAAGTAGATCGATAGCGACAATAATTTACTGAAATAAAGTCACACGCTTCAACGATAACGACAACTCGGTACTTTTGATATTTTATTGGCCACATCGAAAATAATACAAACGCGATAGTCCCCGAACGATACGCCAACATATCATGTTGACTTCTAACTATTCTACCGTGGCGCTTTTGTCACGACTGCCATACAAACTGCGGTATCCCACGAAGGTATAGTCGGTAAATAGTATATACTATAATAATCTGGACGCCAAGATAATGAGATAAACGATACCAAATTATACGCACCAAGTGTCACGAATAAAGTACTAAACTAAGTTTTACGTTTTAGTGTGTTTTTATATATATATATATATATATGCCTAGTAAACCGATTTCGAACACGGAAAACTCAACCAAATCGAAAAACATCAAGAAGATAACATCTGCAAGTATGGCCGCGGCCGGTGATCTAGCCGTTGCATTTGAGAAATCGTTTTTTTTTTTTTTTCAAGTTCATTGTATCTACTTTTTTCATAATTATAGAGAAAAGCAGACAATAAAATAACGATGATTATCGTTGAATTTTAGACGAAATCTATATACACACACGCAACCAAGATTTTTTGAAAAGGGAAGGGAGTGTCACATGTCTAATCATATTATTTTTTTTAAAACAACGTGTTTTTAACACATTTTAGTAGCTTTGTATGTTGTACCACTTAAACACGGATTGAGGGGGTGACCTGTAGATACCCACAACACCTTTTCTGATTACGCCATTGTACACACACCTTTATCCGGAATTTAGAACGTAAGGATAAATGGCCGGACGGGGATCCGACAAACCAAATGTTAAATTTAAATTTCTACACTGGAGTTTGCAGAGATTGAATTTTAGACTTATTGGTTCTTGGTTCACTTTGGTTACACTACCAAAAAAAAGAAAAAATACTTTTATTAATTTAAAATAAAAATACCGTACACGCAGTTACCTTGCCTGTAATCACTCGTCTACAACAGTGCGGCCTAATCACGATGAATAATTTGTTTGATTTTTTATTTGTATTATTATTTCCATTGGCATGTATCCAGTGTAAGTATGACAACACATGACAACGTGGCGTACGTTTGGCCTTGGGAAGGGCAACGCTTATATAGTGCAACGACCGAAGAAAGTCGCGGATTTTGCGGCTAATCAGATCGATTCGATTCTCTATTTTAACGATTACGCGTAAAACAAAAAATAAAAAATAATATCGCCTCCGCGACGTTCGACAGACCACGATTGTTGTGTACATGTTAGGTTAGGAACTCGTACGATGTTTACCTATACCTACGATTAGTGAATCGTAACCGTTAGTTCGTCACGGTGGCATAGGTACGTACAATAATAATTGGACGATTGACATTTTCGTCATTGGCCGCGAGTGCAATGTGTTATTCGCGAAAATTTAAACAGCATTTGAATCTTACCCCGGAAAGTAAACAATATAGATAGTCCGCAGTCTTAAATCGTATACCACGGCTAAACTAACGTCTACAATAACCCACATACTTCTTGAAACAATAATGGTCATTTTATTTCCCCTCCACTTTAGAAACATCATCTAAAACCATTAGATTCGCATCGTGTTCACCATTTGTTTAAAATATTATTTCGTTAATACTGTTATCCCGCCTGGTGATGCCACTCCTCCGTATCAATAAAATGCTTTCAAAAAACCGAAATCAATAAAGTAAATTTAATTTATCGTGTTTCCTCGTGTAAAAGTAAAACCATATTGATATAATACGTATACGATTTTATATTATTATTATGATGTGTCATCATAAAGATAACTCCCAACAAAAAATTTCGATTTTCGTTCCAAAAATACCGAAAGTCCCGGTGTCAGCCACCCTTCACTCTTTACTTTTACCTTATAGTTCGAAACGTATTTTCTGTGTTTTAAGAAAAAATTTCAAAACTAACGATTCTTATACGTTGATGCTGCAGGTTTAATACGAGGTTAATCGTTGTTGTTATTATTATTATGTGCGCGCTTAATCTGTGTTTAATACAATATGATATTTAGACAAATTTTACTATAGTTTTCTTTTCACGTTTACAGACACTTGGGGTTTTATTTTTTTCAAAACATCGTACCTAATACAATCTTCCGGCCAACGAATTATTTATGGAATGTAATAATAATAATATAATGTTCACATTGATGCTTTCTGAAGTCGTCGGGTTAATACACAACCAGTGAACTAGCGCTCCTATATATTATACTATAGTGTTCTTCCGTAAACTACAGACTCTCGCCAAGAACATTAATTTACTCTAACGTTCGTTATATTCCACGCAAAAACAAATAAAAAAAATGTGCATATTTTGCTTCTCATATTATCATTTAACTCGACCGAATAAACGTAGTTATTTCCGATTCCCAGCAATAAAATTCTGTATCAGAATTAATTATTTCACACATCACGTGCGATGATATTATTTTCACCAGATTTCCATGCTGACTCAGCAACGATTATCATAGTATTAGTTTTTATATATATATAATTCATCTATAAAACAGAAAGTAATGTTAAACGAGTTTAAAACGAATATATAAAAACATTATCTTGTACCGACGACCGAACAATAATATTAAAATAGGAATTAATGTTTAAATAGGAATTAACGAATTAATGTTCATGTGTATCATATAAAATAATATGTAAATCCGAACAATGTCTACTATTTTCTGCGTCACATTTTATGTAAGCATATTATGTCTTACATAGCCAGTAATGAAAGGTTGAATATTTTCAATAATTGAAATGATGTCGGCAAAGCTATTGCAATTAAATGTTTTAAATGTTTTCGTTATCAAAACTATTATACATTATACAATTATACATTTTTGTGAATTATTGTACACCCTAAGTATAATTTTTCTCGCATGCTCTTACGGATAAATTTAGAACAAGAAGAACTCAAGCCACCGATTTAGTTAAAGATAAATATACTGTTTTAAAAATTATGGAAATCTAATGGTAATATGTGATTACAAGTGATTTTCAATTGTAGCACTTTTTCCGAAAGAAAAGTGGACTGGGGTGATACTTTAAAGAGGTTATTCTCCCAAGTGATTTTCTCAGAGGTTTTTATAATAAAATTTACGAAATGTATTATTTTCAAATGTAAACGGCCTTTGAAAACATATATAATCGAACTTCACTTAGAATCATTTTTCGTTAGCAATGATTAATCGTTGCCTACAGTTATACATTAAATTAACCTCTGCATCCTACCTTCCCAACTTCTCACAAAATACAACAGTGCCAAGTGTGTCAATCTGTTTTAGTATGTATATATATGTGACCATCTTTAATAGCTGTCATTATTTCCGGTTCCCTCGGTGACCGTTATATTGAAGTTTTATTATAGTAGTATATAAAAAATAGGATATTGAAGATTTATTAAATTGAATAATAATTTAAAAATAAAAGCTTAAACTTAATTTTCTAAAAAGCCTTTCTTAATTATTACTAACTGTACAATTTTTTTTTTTTTATTATAAAGTTTTCCTGACGTTTGTCATCTAAACTTAAGTACATAATAACAATTTTTTTTTAACGTTTATATAACAGATGGCATAGATGATAGTAAGATTACTTGGTTTTAAAATGTACTAATACGAATATAAACATTTTTTTTTCTTATATACAATTTGTTTTAATAATTTATCAATCTACAAATAAATATTTACAATAAGGGATACTAGATAATTAGGACATCGTGGGGACGGCCACGTTTGAGTCTACGACTGTTAACCTGTGCGGACACTTAACCCAAAATGTTGTGGGTTGCTTGCTTTGCGTAGATGGCAGAAGACATTTGCCAATATGTCCCTGATGTAGTTTTTTTTGTTGGTAATTTTAAGTCAGTGTGCAGCAATTACATACTGTACTAAAAAGTGATATAAATACTCTAACAGATTATGATTGCTCATCAGTCCTAACTTCTAAGTCTATAAAAATGAAAAGGTAAACGTTTTATATTACTTGTAAACGTTCAGACCTAAATAGTGTACCTGTCAAAACCCCTAGAGATCGGGACCCAACTCGAATGCAGCCCTCTCGTTATATTCCTTTACATCAATCTATATCGATAGTGTCCTCGACAGACACCGTATACAATAAATGAGAAATTATAAACGTAGATTTTGTTGTGCTATTATAAACTATAAACGTATTTTCGTTATCTCGTTTCAGACAAAAAATCGTGGCTTTACAGAGTGTTCTGTTCGGGAGGCGTAAACCCCAAAGACCCCGGTAACCCCCGTGACAATCCGGACAACGCCATAATGGTCTGGTGCCGAGACAGCCTGGGATGGGCGTTGAACCAGTGGTACGTCAAGATCGTGGTGTTGTTGGTATTCGCCGGGTACCTGGCGGGTGCGCTATACGGCACCACCACCATCCAGGAGGGTCTCCAGAGGAGAAAGCTGTCCAGACCCGACTCGTACTCCATCGAGTTCTATGACAGGGACGATTTCTATTTCAGAGAATTCCCTTATAGAATTCAAGTAAGTCGACAAATACTGAACCACCGCGCCAGACTATTATCTGATTATTATTAGTATACAGCTAGTAGTAAGTGACCCACACGAAATATCGCTCATAAATATACGAGCAAAAAAAAAAAGTTTATTTTAGCTTTGTATCGAAAATATGCCAACGTTTTTTTATTTTGAGCTGTTGTTGATTTTTCCGATATTAAACGTGTATCACGGAAGTCGTCGGGAGTTTTCAGTTATCGCAAACATACATGTATGCTCATAGACACACACAACGGCCGGTTTTCCATATTGATCGAATAGTGTATAGTGTGTTCACAACACGATAGAATATTTCAATAAATACGCGGTAATTTACTATATCAATATCAATTCGTTAAGCATATGTATCTACACATAATTGAATTAAAGATAATATAATAGTTTTTCTTATAGATTTTAAAACTGTCTACATTTTTTCTTAGCGTCAGGGTTAAAAATTTAATTTTCCCAGTCCTACGCAAGCTGTAATGAACTCATATATTCTATTTTAAGTACGTCGCTTAACGTCTTAGGAAATTTGTATCATAATATTGTTATATCGCGCTGTCCAACTGACTTCGTTGATGTCAAATTTCCAATATTTGTTTTATTCGGTTTGATGACAGATGTATATAATTATGAAGTTGTTTGCTGTTTAAAAAGAATAAAACTGTATAGCGTCTCTTAAAACGATCGAACTTAAAATTAGATTTTACCTATACCTACGAGTATATTCCCTAACGCGCAACGGATTAATGAAAATTAAAAATTTTAGCAATACAATGTACTTCGACTGATACTTAGCATGCAATTTGAACGATGTATGGTTGTTATTTTATATTTTAAACCCAAAAGTCTGTAGCAGATTCATCTTCAAATATAAAGGAAATAAAAATATAGGAAATACACATATTAGAACTAAATGTTAAATGTTGGTATCTTAAATTTTTTCAAAATATAAATTCCGAGCGAATTATATTTTATTTTCTGAGTGTCTAGCAAGAAAAACAAATTCACCCGGTATAGACTAAATGGCACAGTTAGGTACATTTATGAACTTACTGAATCATGTATCGTTGGGAAGGAGGGCTACCACATAAACATCGTTGACTTAAAGTCTTGGTCATATTTTTTATTAAACCCAAATTCCAAAATACCTTTATTATATGTACCTATTATACAACTCCGTATAGGTAATAATCAGCGGGGAATTAGACTATTGGAACGTAGACGTCCAAGAACAGATAGAAAATTTGACCAAAACGTTCGAAAGTTCACGGTTCATATCCAGTCCACTATATACGGAATCGTGGGTACGATCATTTGTCAACTACGTAAACCGAAACCAAGAAGAGCTGAACGTGACCATCGATACGAAAGAATCATTTTTGGAAACGTTGAACGACGTGAGTATAAAACTTTCAAGTTAAAAATACAAGATAGGTAGGCCAACGCCAACGTATTCACCTATCCGCTTTGTTTTAGCTGTGGCTGTTTAAACCGAACCCATTCTCGTTAGACGTGAAGTTTAACGAAGATGGTACGAAAATCGTAGCTTCACGATTCATGATACAAGCGGTCAATATAAGCGACGGAAATATGGAAAAAGACATGGTCAAGGAACTACGGAAAATCGCACATGATTCTCCGTTAAATGTTAGCGTTTTCCATCCTTACTTCGTGTTTTTCGATCAGGTGAGATTATAAATTAATTTGTTTAGCAATCACTTAACTTACGTAAATACAGTAGCGCACACAGGATTTTTTTTTACAGGGGGAAGGTTTGTTTATAATAATTTCCTAGAAAGGATAGCACATATCAGTACAGTACTAACACTATCATTATTAAATAAATTATTTTTAATGAATTTAAATTTTATTTTATTCTGTGGTATACGACATTATGTTGTTAAATGTAAAACTTGATTTAAAAATAATATAGACATTTCGGAAGATGTTGCGAAATCCCCCTAACCTCTCTTCTGTGTGCGCCACTGCGTAGATACGTTTACTTTAATTGTACTCATTAATTTTCTCTTTACGTTCTTTTAGTTCCCGTTTGTTTTCTTATATTCTCCACCTTCATCCCATGCAAGTGGAGTACATTGAGGGTAAAGGGGGTAGGTTTGAGAATTTGAAAAATGAGAATTTTCCAGATGGCCTGAATTGTGATATGGTCTGGTGGCCTGATATTTATATGCGTATAATATTTTACTTACTTGTATTATTTAAAAATGTAGTAAAAAGTTAGGCCAAGACACATATTCTTATTTTAGTAACCTATTAATTTTTTTTTATATATATATTTTCGTTTAAAGTACATAACATTAAATTAAAATGCATATTGAAAACATTTTTCTCACCCATTTCTCAAGTATAAAAAAACTTAGTTCCACTCAATTCAAAATCACCACTGGTTCAAATGAAAACACGAGAAAAATTTGATTGGTAGGTATTTTTTTGGGTGGATAGATTTTAATCCCCTGGCCTGAATTTGCTTCCTATGGATCAGCTACTCTTATTTATCAATTATTCGATTATATGGCATCTTTGCATTATTTATAATATGATGTACAATATATTTTAGTTCGAACTGGTGAGGCCTACATCGATCCAATCCATGTTGGTGGGCGGAGCTACGATGATGCTGATCTCGTTCCTATTTATACCAAACGTGCTTTGTTCGCTGTGGGTGGCTTTCTCTATAGTGTCGATAGAACTAGGCGTAGTCGGATACATGGCTCTATGGAGCGTCAACCTCGACTCTATATCAATGGTCAACCTGATCATGTGCATCGGCTTTTCGGTTGACTTCACCGCACACATATGTTACGCGTATATGTCGTCCAAAGCCACATGCCCGGAAGACCGGGTCCGGGAGAGCCTGTATGCCCTGGGTCTGCCAATCATCCAGGGCGCTATCAGCACCATCCTGGGTGTAGCAGCCCTCATACTGGCTGGTAGTTACATATTCATGGTGTTCTTCAAAATGATCTTCCTGGTCATCGTGTTCGGCGCCCTGCACGGCATGTTCCTGTTGCCGGTGCTCTTGTCGCTATTCGGCCCAGGTGCGTGCAGTCGGTCTAAAAGACGACGGCATTCGTCTATCGACAAATCCCTGCCACACCCGTATTGTATACCTCACCCATCACTACACTATGCTGCCAGCCAACGGCATCAGGACCTCGCCGCCGATTGCAAGAGCAAAAGTTATCATAGCAAAGCAGCAGTACTACCCAAGTCAAACTCCGCGTCCAAGCAGGACAAAGACATGGGCCTGGGTACATCCGAAGACTCAAGCGAAAGCAGCTCTTCAAAGTCCCTGCAAAGGAAGAGAAAAGAGGCGGCCGAAGACGAAGCGCAGCGCAGAAGGTATATGGATGGTTGGAGGAAAGCCACCGGACACGCGGTACCTCTACCAAGAACCAGTTACCCTAACAACGGTTATTTCAATGACGAAGACAGGAAACGCGGGTATGTTTCCGAAGTTTATGGTCGGCCAACGAGACCGAACTATCATGACGAACGGCCATACAGGAACGAAGGTCGATATCATTAGGCTCTTTTGGACGTATATATACGTAACAAATGTACATACAATTAAATAAGCTATTATTCCTAGAATTTCGTTGATTAGTACAAAAAATCTTAATTTTGTATTACATAAAAATGTATAAATAACAGTAAATGTTGCCAATTTTTTTAAAATGTATTTATATAATTTAAATGTAAAGTACTATACATTTTAATGCGCTCCTTAATATCTAAAACTAATGTCATTTTTTTTTTTTAACTATAATATAGTTATTGTTTTTTTGATTGCTCAATAGTAAAAATTTTAAATATATAAAATAAGTGCCTATTATTTATGATATAGTTATTAGTGATAATATTGTAATAATACTGTTAAAATTAATTTTAAGCATAATAAGTGGACGTTACCTACAGCTATTTTAAGGTTAAGATATTTTGTATTGTTAATTTTTGTTTTATATATATTCGTATAAGTAGATACCTACAAATTATTTAAACAGCATATTGTATAAAATTATTATTTAAACCAAGTAAAATAATAATATATCAATTATTGTGAGTTTAAAAATGTTTTACAGATTTTTAATAATCAGAAAAAAGTGAAAATAAAGAGCTGATACTGGGGAAAAGTCACTGTTGTTGGTGAGTAGTTGGGAAGGTGGGGTGCATTAAGTTATTTAATTTGTACAGATTCTAACAAAAAACTATTCGTAGCGAATTTCTTTATACATGTTCTATAAGGCATTCAAATTTACGGTTTTCGTCAAAATTTGATTTTAATTCTTAAATGTAAAAAAAAAAAAATACTATGTTAACAATTTTTTTTTTTTCACTAATTACGACTTATAATGAATCCTATCAAATTTTCAAGCATTTCAATTTATCTATACTCTATAAAGTACATACCAATAAAATAACAAATAAAAATAACGTAAAAACTCCCGAAATTAAAATAAATCTTTTTGGTCCATAAACAGCTCAAAAATTGCTCAAATATTCCAAACATCTTACCACGTCCAAAAAAAGTAAATATAAGTTTTCTATCATCATTTAAATTCTTCACGAATGTTTAAACTGAATTGCAGTTTTTAAAAAAAAGAATTAAAATAATAAAAGAATTATTTTCGTAAACTTTCCCGTTTTTTCTACGTATTTTTTGGTTTGCTCAATTATTAAAACAACTACAAAGAAAATCAAATCGACTTCTTTAGTGACCAAATAGATTAAAAATTCAATAAAAAAGATCTCCAGATGTTTTTTTTTTTATTAAAGCAATATTTATGGTGGAAAACATTGTGTTAACATAATTAAAACAATAAAAATGATAACGCTGCGTGCCGTAAATAAAACTAATATTGCGACAAGACAACATTTGAACCCAAAAATGAAATACCTATTGTGGCAGCGATATCTAAATCAGTGGCACTGACCAAATGAATATGACTTACCAAATATAAATATAATAAATTAATATCATTTCGCGTTAAGTAAACTTCTGAAAGGCTTAACCCTCCCTCCACGTGAGAAAAAATTGAAACACACCATTGGTAATGAATTGGTTGAGTGGATAGGTATCAATAAATACAATTGCACTGAATTTTGAAAAACCTCTGGGGGTCACTAGTGAAATCGTGAATACTGGGATAAAGATGTATTATATAGTTAATCTCTACTAATAATTTGCACTTCAATCAATTATTAGTGTCATTAACAATTAAAACTTCAGGCTGAGTATAGCAATTTTTGAGTGTTAATACACGGTTATAGGTGGAAAATAATTTACAGATAATGGTGTTTTTTCTTCGTTAAATTGAATGACTGATGTCATTATACAATTTTTTTCTTTTTAGAAAATACACAATCTGAAAAAAAAACAACTTTACAATAAGTGTATGTGTGAAAGTAAATCGATAGCAGTGAAAAAAAAAGAAGGAAAGAAGAAATCATACAGTATTGACATTTCATATAGCTTGATCATTTGTCAAAAGTTACAGTTAGGATAGATCACGGCACCACTTGCGGGCTATTCATCTAGAAGGGTTGCCGGGGATACAAGTTAGATCGAGGTCTCTGATAAGGGCGTTTGTGTGATTGAGTAATCGGGATCAGAAGTATTTGTAGGAGGAGGAATAAGAGTTATAAAAGGTGTTTTTTATATGGTGATCGGAGTGCAAAGAGTGGTTAAAAACCTAGAAAGGAGCGCCAGTAATCAGGCGAAAATTAGTATATTGGAACGCTTGGATTTTGTTAATATTGTCATATTGGAATGCTTAGCAGCTCCACACAACCGAATACCATAAACCCAGATAGGGGGTTAATTTATTTTGTACACATTTAAGGTATAAATGAACGCAAATAAATGTGTTGTAAATGTGGTAACTCGTATAATATATAAGTAGTTTGATATTGCATTCCTGGTGCAGTTGATATTTATAACATCTTTCAAAGTACTTTTAACATTATTTTAGATTCCGAGCGTAGCGAAGGAGATATTGGTTTTATTTTTTTTCTTATTTCTTTTTTTCTTTCTTCTAGTCTATAGACACGTTTTTCCTAGTAAACATGTTCCGATTTTTACTTGTAGCACCTTTTATGAAAACTCAAGTTATTTAGATTGTAACTTAAATAGGTAATTTTTTTTATTATCGAAGGTATTTTTTAAATTAAAGCAGTTAAGTCGGAAAAAACCTAGGACAACTTACAATTTCACGATTTCATTATTTTATAAAAACACGGACGACGTTTTCTACCAGAAAAAATGATTTAATCGAAAAATCACAAGATACCTTTTTTGTTGCCTTATTGATTTACTCTTTTCGGTATCATCGTCAAAACTTTTGAGCCACTTTAGAACTATTAAGGAATTTTAATTTTTTGGAGTTTTTTTGCTGTAATTCGGTTATAAACACTCGTAGAGACTTGAAACTTGGTAATAATACTTTTATTGGACTTACCTAGACGTGGTAAAATTTCCAAAATCATCAGAAGACTTATTTTTTTTTTTTTTAAATCACATTTAAACAAAAATCACAAAAAAAAAATATAACACTTCAAATTATGTAATACCGAACTGTGCTCGAAATCGTCTTTCAAGCAATGGTTTATCGTTGCTTATAGATATAAATGAAATAACTAACCTTATGCGAAAAACTTTGGCAAGCTTAAAACTCGAAAAAAAAATGATTATAAGAAATAAATATTATTGTGACACTACAACCTTATAACCTGAATAATAGTTTTTAGAGAAAAAATACATACTACCGAATAATAACAAGACCAACCACTCATAACTAGTTTTTCAAAAAACTTTTTAAATTTTTATATAATGAATATTAAATTATTATATTATTAAAACTCCACACAAATTAAATAGGTCAGTTTAATAACCTAAAACAAAAATTGTTATCTATAATATTATAATATTTTATCTAACGAAAGCGGTTATATTAAAAACCGTTATAAATCATTGACTAACAAACGTAAATTTTTAAAATTCTCAAAAAAAAAAAAAATCGTCATTTTCACACATAAATAGTTGAATGTGTCACTAGAGTTTACTCTGCAATTTATCATATAATAGCGAATTGATGCTAAACTATGACAAATTACCTAAGGTAATGACGAAAGAGTCTGACAACAATTTTGGCAATATACAATATTAATACAATATGGTAATAATGATTCATTCAAAAATAATATTGCTCCTGGTTCTAATAAAATCAACGTAGAATTCTTAAAACCTGTAAAAAAATCAATTGCTATTCCTTTGTCTAATATTTTAATCTATTTATTAATACACATTTTATTCCAAATGAATTTAAACACGTTGATATTGTTCCTATATATAAAAATAGTGAAAGTAAATTCGAATAATTACCGACCAATTTCCTTAATTTAATTAATAATTAATATCTCTAAAAATTTTGAAAAGATGTATTTATACAAGACTAATACATTTTTTAAATAAAAATAATATATTATTTAATTCTCAATTTGGTTTTTGAGAAAAGAAAAGCACAGATGATGCTATTTCTAAATTAATTTCCCATATTAAAACTGATAAAAATAAAAACTAGTTGTTTTCTTAGATTTAAAAAAGGTTTTTGATACAAACAGTCACATATAATAAAAAGGTTCTAAAGCTAGTAGTTGGAACTCGGTGATCTGCTTGGCATGCGATAGCTTATACAAAAACTGGGACGGCGCACAGTGATCTGAATCGTAATTTAGCTTACCTAAAAGTCAATTTTAAAATTATGTCAAATAAGATTTATGATATAGAACTATTGATAGTTAAGTATAGAGATAATCTGATGCTTATCACACATTTTATCCATCACAAACCTAATTAACCATTTATTGTGGTCGAATGGTGTACGTATTGTCATACAAGGGGTCGCAAGTTCTCTAACCCAGGGTTAGAAAATACATTTTTTTCACTTTTTTCCCCTTTTACCTAAATAAGAAAAAACAAATGCATTTTGGATATACTTAGAAACCCAATCCATCGCTCCCTCAGATTATTTTAAACGCAAAATACCCCTCGATTAGTTCTGCAAAATTCTCTATCAGAAATTTTGCTCCAATTTACAATGGTAGCACTTTTTCTGAAATAAATCTGATTGGGAAGGTACTTTAAGAAGGTCATTTTTCATTTTTGCCAAGAGTTTTCTTAGCAAATGTGATAATCCGGGAAAAAACATGGTAAAACCGGGAAAAACCCAGAAAAAACGGGAAAGTCAATAAAATATTAAACAAATAGTATTAAAGAAAATATAAAATGGCTATTTAATTATTTTACCATGATATATGACATATATATTGTTGATCAAGCATCACTATCAAATGAATTACGCTCAGAATCGTTTTTTCGTTAGCAATGGCTTATCGTTGATTACAGGTATATATTAAATTACCTATAACAGTGGCTGCACCCGTCTCCTTTATCCTAGGACGTTTTTTTTCTTATTAATTTGTAATTTCCACATTATCCCACGAAATTATCCACACGTTATTAGTCGCCTTATTATATTTTTATTTTGTCTATATTATTTTGTGGTATTATTATTACTTTTTTTATATGTATTTTTAACGTGTGAAATGTATTACAATATTATTATTCTGTATGAAATAGTTACTGACAAATATTAAGGTATAAAATGATATAATATATATTTTATTGATTGTAAATATTTAATAATATGGTTTACAGCAGTTTGTTCAGTGCTTACAGCAGAACAGTAGTTAAATGTGGCACTAACCTTAACACTATTTCTTATTATTTTATTCTTAATACTAATCCACAGTATTACTGTTGCACAATGTACACATAAAATAGTCCCTAATGGAAAAAAAAAATTTTTATTCAAATATAAATAATAATATATGTAATTATAATTATTTTATTAAGAAAAAACTTATATAATGTAATATAATATAGGTATAAGGTAAAACATAGTATTGTAATAGCATTAATTAGTTTGTGTTTAATAAGAAAAAATTGGTATAAACCGAAGTAAGGAATCCATATTAAGTTATTTTTTCAATAATAATAATACAAAAGCTTTAAAAAAAATGTTTGTGAAAGAGCGGCAGTTTGTTCAGTGCTTACAGCAGAACAGTAGTTAAGTGCGTCACTGACCATAACACTATTTCTTATTATAATATCATTATTATTAGTATTATATAGTTATAGATTAATAGCTGTGAGTTGATTTTTGAAATTTATTCTAGATTTTTTGGTATTTTATTCTTCGGATTTCTGTCTTTTTAAATTGTCTGTTTGTTGAACTTCTTGATTATTTCCTCCAGGGAATCCGTCTTGATTGATTCTTCATTGACTTTAGCTTTCTTTTTAATTTTCATCATATCATAATATTTTCCATGAAATTCACGAGTGTATCCTAAATCACTACGTTGAAGCAAATTTTTGTTTATTATTTGATCCAAGTTAGTTAAAAACACTTCACATTCTATTTTAATAGCTAACCATGGCAGGTCCCAATGAAAGCATTCCATCCGAGGTGCTCTCACAATGTTTAATAGTTTATTTATAAGTGATGTATTAAACAACTCTGGTTGTAAATTTGTAAGGGTAGAATGAATCAAGGTAGTACAATCTCTACGACTTAGAAACAAATCTCTGTCATAATTATTCCTATTTACTTCAGTATTATTTTTTTTAGCTTGTCTAGAGGAAGTCCTCTTAGAATGGTTTGACTTTAATATACCGCTTTGAATGGCCAAATTTTCAATTCTATCCATAAGGTCCTTCGAAGGCATTATCTGAAATGCCGTCAAAACACATTCCCGATGTACAAGTAATACATCTTCAAACAAATCGGCTAATTTCAAATATCTTTGAGTACAACGTTTTGCTGATAGCAATGCATTTTGTTTTGGGCCATTCCTTTTATAGTAATTCATTTCATCAAGAGTCATAGACAATGCACGAATATATATTTTCACATATACTGGCTTGGAAAATGAAGAACCAAACTGTAAACAAAAATTTTCTTTTATAATTATGATAAACCCAAAATTATAATCTAAAAATAAATACAAATACATTTTTTCAATTATGAATTTAGTATGGGCATGTCAAGTATTGACACATAGTTCAACGGTTCTGAAACTGTGACGAAGAGAGTAAGTGTGAAATAAAAACTACATTTATCTAAAACATTTACCTTTAGACCAAGTAGATCAATATAAGACTTTAAACGGAAATGTTTATAAAAAATAGGCAATAAAATGATATAATTTTTATAATCGTGTTATCTATCATTTCTTGGGTAGTTTTATCAGTGTTTCCAAAAAATAGTGATAATGATATAACTAGGGTAATTGTTTGTCTATATTACATATAGTGATATCTACGTGGATATCCAAACTGTAGTCATCATAGAGTGGTTTGAAGAAAAAAAAGATTTATATTACTTTAAAATTGTTGCAAATATGTTTGTGCATTTGATATGAATATAATACAATGTATATTATGTTACAGCCATTACGGATAAACGCCAAAATCATACAAATTTTAGAAATGCAAAATGTCCTAGATATTTTGGCAAAACGTCATATTTTGGTCTTTTTTTAAATTGTACCATGTCTAAAAAAGGAAAATTTAATTTTTTCCCCCAAATTCTTTATGCCCATTTTGAACTGAATTACACCAAAAAAAACAAAATTGAAAATTATAAAGACATTATTTTCATACATTTTCCCGTTCTTCCTATATTTTTTCCCAATTGTTATGAAAATTACTCGGAAAATCAAAAAATGATCTTCTTAAAGTACGACCTAAAAAAAATTCCATTTCAGAAAAAGTGCTACACATGAGATATCGAAGAAAGATTTCTAGTAGAATTTTTGTAGGCAGTATAAAATAAAAAAAATTATCTTAACATCATTGTAAAATCAATACATTCCTCTTTCCGCACAGAACCTATAAGTCTTTACCTATAAGTACATTAATAAGAATATTATTATTTGTGTCTTGGCATACATATTTTTACGAAATGTTTAAATAATGCAAGTAAGTCAAGTATTATATAGAAATGTCAGGTCTTTAAGACATATTACGATCTAGGCTATTTGGAAAATTCCTATTTTCAAACCAACCAGTCAACTCTTGCTTTAGACCATTAGTCTTTTAGCATTTTGAAACTTGAGATTACATAAAAGATAAACATCACGAAATTAGCAAATTAGCATTCTATTAATACCAGTTGCGACTTCATATTTGTGTAAAACAGGATTTTCAACAGTAGCTGTAACCCACATTATTATGGAAACCGCCTAATTTTTAATGTATATTAAAAAAATACTAAAATTATTATAATTAGTAGGGTGTACCAAAAAATTATTTTTTCCAGTTTGCGAGTAACGATTTTAGATTAACGCAATTCGTATACAGGACAATATTTGTTCCTTATTAAATTATGATCATTTAGCTTCAGGCTATTTTTAGTTAATTATAATTTATAGTATGATAAAAAAAAATACATACAAATTGCGTTATTTAACTAAAATCACTGAAAACAAACTGGAACATTTTTTTTTTTTGTCTACCCTACTAATTAAAAGAACAAATTTATGGGGAAAACAATTATAATATTATACAATAATTTAAAAAACATTATGGAAAATCAATAGTTAATTAGGTATTTCTTTATTTATACTTCTATTAATGAATAAATACTAAACGTTTAAGTGCATCAAAACACCTTAGTAATTCAACAAGAAACCAACAAATGAAACAAATATTTAAAAAAAATTATTCAAACATAAGAACTCAGCATTTTCACTTAATTTATGCTATGTGTTTTAAGCTTCCAACATCCCCTTATAAAGATTATAAAATCCACTTCAAAAACATTTTTGGAAAATTATACTGGTTAACATATTAAAGACTTTTCCCCACCTACAAAAGTATACTACAGGCGCTGAGAGAGCGCTAGTCGACGGCAACCAAAACGTGTCGTAGTCCGCACATCTCCCACAGACGATGATTCTCAGCAGTCCAAATTGGCGAGAGAAATTAGACACTGCGGAGAACTTTCATTTGGTTGCACAGACGAGTTGCGCTCTCTCAGTGCTAAAAGTATATAAAAGTGACGTACCCATCTCCAATATCGGCTATTTTTTTCTTCCAAATAATGTTTATATGCTGTTTAATTATCAAAATACAATAATACAATAACAAAAAAATGTTCAAGATAAATGTATGATTCGTAAAATATATGCATCAGCTCTTTATTATGAAATGATTGGCTCTGTTGATAAAGATATTGGAGAGGAGCCCATATATATTTCAATTGATAAATCTAGGACTGGAAGTATTTTTAATATACCATTGTTACAATAAGCACTGTTAGTTCGAATAGATATGATTAAGATTTACAATTGGATCTGATAAGTGGCGCTGCAAGGGTGGGCCACAGGGATATTGGTATTTCAAGTACAGTTATGATACTATTTTTGGTTATTCATTGGCGATATGGATAGAAATTAGAAATCATAAAATAAATAAATAGTAAGATAGTCTGTGTAAGTTGTCGTAAAATTGGCCATCTGATAGAAAACTAATAAATAAAGATCACCCAAAAGACGTCACGAGGATGATACAATAGGATTATTAATTTCTAANAACACATACTTTAAGGTTATTGTGAAGGAACATCTACTGGAAAAGAATATAATAATATACCAAAATAGATAATAATTATTTACAATATTATTGCAATAGACTATACTCTTCCAAATTAAAAATATAGTGCAGTTAATCCAATCAGTTGATAATAATTTCACAACATAATATTAAATTATAATTATTAAAAATATAATTATTTTTGCACTTACCTTTGCATAAAAAATATCCGCCATAGAAAATAAGTGATCAGCTGAAGGGGCCCACTCAATAAAGTTGAGAATACTTTGTTTATAAAATGGATCACTTAGGTTGCTAAATAATTCAAATTTCTCCAACAAAAACACAATATCACACCAATAGCGCATCAACTCACAAAATTCTTGAAGCATACTTTGGAATTTGTATTGAAATGATTGATTTATTAGTATAGTGGCACCCATTTCACAAAATCGTACTATATTTGGATAATTAATTGGTAAATCTTCTTTTACCAAAGTTGAAAGATACTTAATTCTATGATAGTATTTAAATATGAGCCTTTTTCCTTCATCCATTGGATTTATATTTTCAATCTGAAATTGAAATAAAATTATTAAGATATTTTTTTAATTAAGTTTATAAAAATGTTTTATATATTTAAATAAACAAAGTAACATACAATCCGGGTAATATATTTTCTATCACAGTACATTAGTAAACTAAACAAAATATCTCTGCAGCATTCATAATCATCCTCTGGAAATAAATTGGTATTGTCGCGTCTTATAAAATATTGTTCGTACAAATATACTAACATATCAGCTAAATTGAATGCTAGATTTAGCTGTTGATCATGAAACAACACCTTTACACGATTTACAATAATAGAACCATTTTCTTTATTGAGAATGTAGGTAAATACTATAAAATATATATATATTTATATTAAAAATGTTAAATAAATAAGTTAATAAGTTATATATTTAGTAAAATATTACATTCCATCATTCGCGTATGTTTTTGAGCATTAAAATTTGGTAAAATATCCCACGGATTGTTTATGATATTTATAAAATGCTTCAAAGTCTTCAATACCTCTGAATTGATATTAATTTCGAAGAAAGATATAATTTGTACTACAATTGTAATAAATTTATTTTTAATTTGTTGTTCAATATGTTCCCACTCTCGTTGAAATAATAACATAGTCGATTCACTGGAATAATAAATGCAGATAATTATTATTTTAATATTCAATTTAGGTAATAGACAAATAAAAAAATTTCAAAATGTAGTATTATGATTTTTTTAATTCGAGATTTAAAAATCTGAACGAAAATATTTAAAGAAAAAAAAATGTCGAGTCCGATGTCAAGTAGATATAATAACAAGTTCCTATCAGTTTTTAAAATTCTTATCGCATGAATAAGTTCATCTGACTGAAGGACAAGAAAAAATCTCTAGATTTTATTTTCCAATTTTAAAATTATATTTTAATATATTTAATATATAATAATATACATGTTTTATTTATATGATAATACATGTTTCAATATACCTATATTTAAATAGCCTACAGTTCAATAAAAAAATAATTTAAATTATGTATTATAAAATTACCTAATAGCATAATGTGTAAATATACGTGTTTCAAAGTCATGGCAATGGTTTTTTTGCAATTTACAACAGCAATTTTCCCAAATCTGCAATAACTTTGTTATTTTCTCTTCAAAGTTTAAAGAAGAATTATTTGTTAAAAACTCAATCTTCTAAAAAATAAACAAATTGTAAAATTAAAATATATAAATTATATATGAAAATAAATAATGAATTGAATAACTAGGGTAGTGCAGTGTAAACAATTTTAATAAAATTATATTAATAGAACTTAGTTTACCTTAATAGATTTTAGTTCAGTTTAATATTAATATACTTCCTTAACAAATACGTAGATAGAACCTTCTTATATCTGTTATTTTTATAACTAATAAATTACAATTAAAATTAATATACTTTTATTTTTTTGGTTAAATTGTGCGGCAATTGTTCACATAGATTTATAAGCAATCTTTTGTGCCAAACTTTATCGAAAGCTTGTGCCACGTCAAGGAATACTTCGTAGCAATTATTCTTCTCTTCAAGCGCTTTGTTTATCACATTTGTGATGCAATGGACCTGATCGATGAATGAGTGGTTATTTCGAAATCCAAATTAGTGTTCCAAATTAGTATAAACTGTGTTTCTTCTATCAACGGTTTTAAAGGTTTTAGAAGTAATTTTTCAAGTAATTTTGAGAAGAAGCTAGATTTGTCTGTATAAAGTTACTTGTACTGGTAGTCTTCCTGGTTTAATTAGAATGATCACTTGGGCTCGTTTCCATTGTTTAAGAACGTATTCCATACGTAGGATGGCATTGAATAAGTGTGTTAGATGGATCATCGCTTTTTTAGATAATTTTTCAGTATTTTTGGGTTGATTTGGCTATAACTAGGCACCTTTTTTTGGGTTGATATTCATGTCAATTTCGTTTGCAATTTCGATTAGAGTGAAAAACTTACCTACACATTTATCTTGTCGCGTATTACATTGAGTGGTTGACACTGAACTTTGTCAAGTTCGAAAACCACTTCGTTCGGCTAAAATACACGTTCTAAATGACGTACGTACATATCGGCTTTATCTTGTTCACAGCGTTCCCATAATCCATAATCCATACAAATTGGTGGTACACAGGCTAGAGCCTCTTATGTGTCGTGTAGCCTTCCATAATGAATAATTAGTGTTATTATTCGTTGCAAAAAGTTCACTTAAGTAAGATTTGATTTATTGCCATCAAGGTTAATTATTTTAATTGATTTTCTTGATTTTCATCACCACGGATTAGAACAAAACCGTTCTTTTAGGACCGTGGTCATCACGATTGTCCATCTTAAATCGTGATTGTCATTTATCATTATCAATTATTACATCAGTTTTATCGATAACTGTATTATAAGGAGAAAGGCTTTAAAGGGACCCGATGGGAAAAATATGCAATATTAATTTTATAAGCCTGCATTAAGAGCAGGTGCAGTTCCTGCCATTTTTCCATTTTACCTCGCTCTTTGAGTAAAAAAACAATAAAAAGAAAGTCACCTCAAATGAGAATCATTTCAGCTAAAAAACTGAACTACAACTGAAGTACATAAGTATGTTAGAAAATACAAAGTTATATTTTATTAAACAAATATTTATATTATTGTACCTATGTACAGATGTCTCGCAGTAAATCATTTTTTCTTTAAATAATATTTTTAACATTTTATTTATTCATATATTAATTAATTATAAACACTAGTATTTATAATCAATGATATTACATTAATAAAATATACTATCAAATTAAGAAGACAACTTAATAGTGACCAGTTTATGTTTTCTTAAATTATCTATGTTCTATTATAAGTATTTAAAAATTTCAAATATAATGAAATTATCTAAAGAAGTGTAAATATTAAATATTATACATACATTATATTTTATAATTGGTGTTAACTGATAACAATTTTTTAAAAACAAAAATGTTATTGTAGGTATCTATCTATATTATAATTCTAAGATCTAAATAATTATACTAAATATTATGCCACATGATAAAACATATAATGCTAAAAAAAACTATTAAATAGTTATTTTTATGAAAAAACACAACAAAATAACACTTTAAATAAGTACGAACATGTTAAATTTTGTGTTTATACATGATTAAAAATTAAATTTTATCACACGATACATAGTATTTTATACAAATTTTTCGACGCTTCAGTTATAAAAATGTTTAATTAATATTAATTTGGTACCAAACATGGTTAAACAAATACTGAGTTATTGGTTATTGAACAAACGCTCTACCGTTATAAAAATAAATTAATTTTATTTACAACCAGTTGAATGATATAATTCTTTTGTAGGATTAAAAAATTGGAAAGTTAAAATAAGCAATTGTGATGTCAATACCAAAAGTGAATTTGACGCACTTATCAGCGGTTCGGAGACAGATTACAGATTTTCCAAACATACATTTTTTAATTCAAATTTATACATTGCCAGTATCTACACATTATGTAACCATGATTGTAAATTGTAAAATATTATTTTTATACTTTAAAGATGATACAGCTTGAAGTTCACACTGTGTTAGGTGGGGGGAAGTGGTGATAGGAAGGTCAAATTAGTATTACTATTATGGCCGTTATGTGATTCATTATCGTCAACACAATGAAATTTCGTTTTGACTTCTGGTTTTTACTGATAGGATTAATAAATTGCCCAGTAGCAGTCAATTTAACGAACATTCAAATGTTTATAAATCGCAAACGAATTACTCAAATGAATTACTGTACACATTAAAGTTATTTTTTTCAATATCCTTATAAATTTTCGTTATCGAAAATAAGTTTTGCCATTACAAAAGATGTTAGTGTTTTATCAAATAAGGGAGACAGATAAAATTTAAAAAATTATAACACAGTGTAGAACAAAATAAACTAAACAATTTAAAAAAAAAAATTATTTTAAAATATCTAATACTTACCTAAATATTGACTAGTTAATGATAAAAAAATCACCCTGTATTATAGTATGAGACATTGATTTTATTTTTTTTAAAACGGTTATTTAAAAACTAAAATATATTTTAAAATAAAAGTGTAATATCTAATAATCAATGTCATATACAATAATATTATAATAATAATAAAAACTAATTATCCATAAAAATCCATACCAATAACATTTCAAATTATATCTCAGAATTGATTTTAATAACAAATAATTTGAAATAGTTAAAAATCATAGCTTAAGTTAAAATATTATATTCTAAATATATAATACAAAATATTACTACTAACCTTAATTAAAATAAAATATTCCCGTCTAACCAAACAACCCGTAAACTTATGATTAGCATCCATAGGAGTCTGTAAAAACATATACAATTATTGTTATAAATGATATTATCTAAAATAAAGAAAAAAAGTAGATTTTAAACAAGCATTGCATAAAAATAAAAATTGTTTCAGTGACGCATTAGTGGGGCGGAAATCCCAACCTCAGTTTTTGATTCTGAGCGGAGCGAGAAATGTATATTGGTGTTAAATTTATGTTTTTTTTTTTTCTGTGAACAACTTTTATACCAGTAATTTTACTCCGATTTACATATGATAACACTTTTTCCAAAAGAAAATCTTACTAAGGTGGTACTTTAGGAAGGTAATTTTTTGATTTTTCCTTGAGTTTTCTCAATAAATGTGAAAAACGGAAAAATAGGTACAACATTCAACAAATATTAATAAAGAATAAATATAATAAATAATAATATGTTATTAATATGACGTAATATTCTATTGACCAACCAACACTATTAACAGAAATCCGCTCCGAACCGTTTTTCATTAGCAATGGTTAATTATTGCGTACAGATATACATTAAATTTCCCCTCTATCTTACCAACTTCTCACCTACAATAGTGGCCCACCCACGTGCGAAATATGTCTGTCTTTTTTTTACAAATAAAAATAAATAATAACTTATTACTAATGCAAAAAAATTAATTAAAAGATATATAACAATTGAACTTTTAACAACCAAAAATCTTGCTCTAATTATAAACATCAAGATTAGTTTTTAGTAAAATATTTTGTCTAGTTGAAGCATTAAACAGGTGTCGTCTGATTGCGTCCGATTGTAGCAGGTATGCATCCCAAATGAAAAATCAAGAATTTTAATTGGCGTCCGGCAATATTATATTAAGTTGTTGCAAGTCGCATATTATGCTACGATCAGACTAGACCCGGCATCGGTCGAATACTTTTCGGACAGCATCTGCAGGCGAATTATTTGACTGTTATCAACAACATATATCGTCAACAATGTATATGTCATATTATGGTAAAATAATTAAATAGACATTACCTATATATTTTCTTTAATGATATTTGTTTAATATTGTACCGATATTTCCATATTTTTTTTTTCCGAATTTTTCCGATTTGTCGGGATAATTCCTGGGAAAATCAAAAAATGACCTCCCCAAATTACCACGGAGAAAAATTTCCAGAATTTCAGAGAATATCATCGGAGCACGATTTTCGTTAGAAAAGTTAGCACAAAAAATCAAAGGGTATTTTGCGATTTAAATAGTCCCAGCGAGCGATAGCTTGGATCTCTAGGTACACCCAAAATGCAATTGTTTTCCCCTGTTTACGTAAAAAGGAAAAAAAAAATGTAAAAAACTTTGTTTGGGACATAGGATGAAAATACGCATGTATTCGGCTACAACAAACATACTAATAATATAAAATGATAACAATATTTAGTTATTTAACATAACATATACTATCCGCATAATATAAGAAATTCAAAACAGTTATAATTTCGAAACTTAATCAATTCGCTCAATTCTGACTTTACCATCGTTCTTAAATCGTCAATATAGATATGATCAAAAAAAAAAAAAAATAATAAAAAATTAGATTTTTTTCACATTATTTTTTACTCAATGATTTTCGTTAACATTTCTTTATAAAATAAATACCACATTAAATTCAAATTTTATTTTTTTGACCAGAAACTAAGACTCCTAATGAACCTTCTGTTAAATTTTCTAGCATTTATGTTAAGTCTAAAAATTGTACCACAGAGTAATTACCGAATAAAAATTACGTACAAAACTCGTAAAATTAAAATCTCTATAAATACCTCAAAAATGATTCAAATTTTTGAAAATTTTACCTCGTTTAGAAAAAGCAAATATAAGTTTTCTGTCCAAATGTCAGATGTCAGGTAATAATTATAATTACCTATAATAAAACTTAAACTAGTTTTTTTTTAATTTTACAATTTCAAAAATATTTTAGTACTTTTTAAATTATTTATAGCTATTTGATATTATTGGGTTTCCTTTTGAGTTTTGTTGATGCCAATTATTGTTTGATTTCTCGAAAAATGATCGATTACCTATATTTTGATTTAAGATTCATCATAAGTTTTATTAAGTTATAAGACAAGGTGAGTAACATTTTTTTACCCGTTTTTTTATAAGAGTATTAAATTCAAATTTGTGATAAAATTTGTATAAAATAATTGTAATTTATTTTTTAATAACTAATTAATTTGAAATTTAAATTTTCAAAAGATGATTAACTAAACTCTTCAAAAAATCGTTTGCAATGTTATATCGTTATATACATACAGTTATAAACTTAATTAGTTACCTAATAAACAAATATATTTCTATACCTTTCTAACTTTTCACCTAAATCAGAGGCCTACCGATGAATCAGGGCTGGATTAAAAGGGAGGCAGAGTGGGCACATACCCCGGGCGCAAGATTTAAAAGGTGCATAAAAAAGCTGCAATT